TGAAAAAATGTGTAACTGGAATTCTTCTTAATTCAAAATGATCTTGACTGCCAGAATGTTCCGCCGACTGAAACGAGAGCCAAAATGTTTATTATACGATGATAAAATTTCCAAAATAGTTTTATTTGGGATCTTTCTGACTTACTTGTAACAATTTATGATTCATTTCACAATGAAATTAATTTAATAAATATTCTCGCAACTGAATGTGCCTTCGCTAAATTTAACACTATTGTATTTATATCATACAGGTATTTGCTATGAACAAGGGTGAAAAATAACATGACTGATAGTGAATGGGTTTAAGTGACGTTTAAGATTATTACACTTATTTAATGACGTGCATGCATGCGTGTGTGTGTGGTTGTTTTTGCTAGTCCGGACTGAGGTCGGTTTTATAGTACTAGCCCACTTAGACACCATGCTGCAGTTTATATGGATAACGGTTAACCCACTCAGGCGCAGTCCTTGTTTCATTTAGGCAATGGAATTCGTTTAGGCAATGAAACAACAAGTACAATCTTTCAACGTCTTTTTGTATGACGCTGCAGGGATTGCAGGGTTAGAAATTGGCACCTGTCCTGTAGTCCTTGCCAAACTGCCCAATAGTTAAGGTATCATAAAGACTAGTAGAAATTTGCCATTTTTAAGGGTTTTGCTACATGTTATCATTATATGGACTAGTGGTCTAAAACTGTTAGTTTCTAACGCTGGATTGAAACGCCGACCTCACCCCCTCTGGGCAAACACTAAGCAGCGAAGTTTAAATTTAATTTAAGTTACGATCGTCTTAGCGCTAAGATAGTTTTCTGAAACGGGGTCCTGGGTACCCGGATGTTAGGATATACTTGACTTGTTATCTCAGTTCGTGAGGACGAAGAGAAATGGCTTGTTTGAAGCTGACATCGATCTACAAAAGTCGACAAATTCGAGTTGAATGTTATTTCCTGTTATCCGGGGGATTGAAATGGCGGTTTTAAATCGACATACACGTTTATAATCAGATTAGTTCGAGTTAAGCACTATCTAATCAGGGTAGCTGTAGAGGCGCTAGAGATCTTCATTCCACAATCTAGGCATGTTGACAGCTAAATTCTTAGACGAACTGCTGGAAAATACAAACTTATACAGGCGGTTTGCTAGATAGCTAATAAACAAACAGAGGTTCATATGTGAATAACTAAAAACCATCACTTGTGACAATCTATAACAGGGCTTCTTGACGCGCCGCCAACTTGCTTTGATCCCTCGTGATGATTACGGTGTTCCTGTGTTAATGCCATACCTCGCGTCCGGTCCCCTTAAACCGTGATGCGGTTAACTATAAGACTCATGATGAAAGTGGAGGCATTTGTGTCTGTTTTATAGCAACCACTGCTATGTTTTCTTCATCTACACCTTCTGAACTTGGCCTGTTACCGTGTGATCTTCTCAGTAATTACCGGTGCTTCTGTGAAGTCCTCAAACCGCCGTTTTATACCCCACCGCCTTTAAACCGCGTCCCCTCTCTATCTCCCTTTCCGCGGCGTTAGAACTGCCGCTTAGACTAAATCTACGATCGGTGGAAAGATGGGACCCCCCGCGGTGATGGTAAATAAGGCATGATAAATTACGCATTTTATGTAGAATTTCATTGCTGATTTAATATCGGAGAAAACGAACTGAGGCTCCCAGAGTCGCGACTAAGACATCATGGCAAATAGGTAAGGTTAGGAAAAATTACCTTGGTCTAGCTGTTCTTAATCAACCCGTACAGAAATATTGCTGTAATCCCATACATTCTATTGAGATATAAAATATACACTTTGGTAGGAACACAAGAATACAATATAAACCCTGATATCCTATCGCCTAAAAAGTAGAGATTGAATAACTGACATTAGGTTGGTTGATCTTATTGTTCTTTTTATCCGGTTGGTATTGTGTATTTAGATAGCTTTGTTGCTGTATGAAATGTGTAGCAAATATATACGACGCTAGTGTTAAAATGTCATGGCTGTTTTTAACTAGAGCGTGTGTATATTGTCATCAACTTTATACACGATTCTACCATGGCATTGAAGGAGTATCTATTTTGATTGGTTTTTTTTATTAGATTTGAAGTGAGAAATTAGCTTCTGACCGCACTACTGTACTGAATACGTGCGCAAAAAGAAAAGAATCCGTTTTAAAAAGGTATTTGAGTCATGGTAGATCGTATAACGATGAACCACCTCAAAACTTAAAACAGAAAAGTTTTATCTCCTAATTTTAGTCTTGTTTACACTTCTAATTGTCTGTCAGTTCAAGTATTATCAAAACGATCAACTTAGTCATTTTGTTTTATTCCTCGCTGGGAATAACCGAATTACAGAGTATGACGTTATGTTAATGGACGTTAAGGTTGTAGAAATGATTCACGGTAGATCGGCACCCATGTGCATCACATGTAAACCTAAGAGAAAATTTGTTTTAATTCCGTACGTGAATCCGCCGAAAATATAACGATATAAATATTACCAACTCCACGCACAGTTGGGGTGTAGCGATGCCTACACAGCGGTACCGCTGCAATATCATAACATCGCACGACGTAAAGATTTGAATGCCCGGATGCTAGGGGCATTCATTCATACAGACGTGGGTAATTCACAAACAAACTTCCTGCTCTTCTCATAAATAACCAGGGTCGATAAAAGTCTTTAGCACCCTAGGATGTTCCCTGTTTATCTGTTTATCTTTCGTTATTTGACATGTATGATAACAAACGGTATTGCGATCGCCCGGCGAGAAACCACGGGGATCTCGTCGCCATGACGTCATTTATTTACGGAAGTTTGTTCCAGGTGATAAATCGAGATTATTGCACAGGTGTTGGGATTGGTGGAAATGTAATGCCAGCTTGGAAACCTGGTTGATCTTAGTGATACGAGATAAAAAAAATTATAAACAGGGATTACCCCTACTTGTATTTGGAAGATTATTATGTGAAAAATACCTCAGTAGATCATGAACTGGTAAATGAATACCTACCAAAATATTCATGATTGGCAATTTTGTGGTTTCTGATTGGGATGCTATGACGCAGTGGCGAGGGCCTTATGTTGTGAGAGGCTTGATTTGTCTGAGTATAAAACTTTTCGGACCTTTTGTATTCAGATTTCTGTACGTGTGTCTCTCCATCTACAAATTCCAGATCAATTTGTTCCCAACACATATTGCTAATAGCAATCACTTCTCTTGCGTACAAGGCGCTGGGTCCAAGTACAAAAGTGCTGTTTGCAAATAATATTTATATGAGAGTTAGAGGCCTGTATTCATAATGTTGCAGGTATGCAACTCTTAGTTGTTCGAGGAACGCTCATGTACCCTTGATATAGTTACTGTACATCTTCCCGAGGCAAGTGCGTTAACTGACTATAAAAGTCTTGTTTCCAACCTTGTCGAACGAGTTACATTTTGGCTGGACAAACGAGTCTATGCTTAGTCCAATCAACATCGCGTAACGAACAAAACAGCCGGCTTGTAAACAATTTCAACGTGCAGATTTCGGTCGACTGCAGGATTCGCATTTTTGTTTTATCAAGGTGCGCAAGTGATTTGATGCACTTCGCGAGCTGAGACTATTATTACACTATAGATCTTTTTTCTCTCGTTCAGGTCGTCTTGACTGGGTGCCGCCATTTTGACTGAAACAAATGCAACTGATAGGAGAGGTGAAATCTGATTGTCAATAGAAGGGACATGGAAGGGCCATAATTCGTAATAGCCACTAGTGGCGGTACGATCGAACCCAGAAAATTCCAGCCGAGTCCGATCAGGACGGCAACTGGACTTTTATAGTCAGTTAACGCCCTAGCCTCGGGAAGATGGTTACTGTATAAAAACAAGAATTCCTAAGTCATAAGATTTCAAAATTTGTAATGTTGTCCCTGTCAATATGGAGGGGTATGTCCTTAAGAAATTTATGACGTAAATCTGCATTCCTGGGACAAATACATAAAAATTATATTCCCTAACAGCATTGTTACATATTTTACATCTTCTTTGATGAAACGGTATACTTTCCGTTTGTCCAGTGTTCTTATAAATTGGAAGTACGGCAATTCTCAACAAAGTAGTTTGACATCTTGTTTGTTTGGTTTGATTGCTTGATTGTTATTTAACGCCATACTAAGCAATATTCCAGCTATATGACGGCGGTCTGTAAATAATCGAGTCTGAACCAGACAATCCAGTGATTGACATCATGAGCATCGATCTATCCAATTGGGATACGATGACATGCATCAAGCAAGTCAGCGAGACTGACCACCCGATCCCGTTAGTTGCCCTTTACGACAAGCATAGTCGCCTTTTACGGCAAGCATGGGTTGCTGAAAACCTATTCTACCCCGGATATTCACGGGTTTTGTTTGTTTGAATTGACTATTAACTTGGTAAGGTTCCGTTACGTAAGATTTAAAAAAAATAATTGTATACACGTGCAAATATGTTGATGTCAGTTAAAATTGACTAAATTATATTTATTCTGAATTTAAACTCAGAAACGGAAAAAAGTGTTTATTGCCCACACTTTGGGCTACCAATACTAAACCAAAACAATACATGAATAAGATTTCTTCACATGTGAAATCCAAGTTATTTTATCAATTTCCTGGTTTATATGATGACTCAAAAGAAGTTAAATAACACCCAACTTTTTCATATGACTATAGTTAATCTGTCATGGCTAGATAACTATAGCCATATGAAAATATCGGAAGTTCTTCAACTTCTTTTGAGTAGTATATATCATCACATAGCGTCTTTATTTCCAGTCATAATCTCTGTTCGCCCTGATTATGTTTCTAGATTGGTCAGCACCATACCCGTGCTCGTGGGTTTCACCAAAGTGGTAAAAGTCTGCTACATGCATCACTTCGGGCTTTCCTCCCACAATAAGCTAACACGCCATGATATAACTGGAATACTGTTCAAAGCGGCGTTAAACTCAACTCACGCACTCCTTTTCTTTGCAGGTAAAGAATCAAATCGCCCAATCCACTTCTATGACGTCAAAGCTAGTCCTATGCCAGTGATTATCCCCGGTACTCTCTACGTCAGCTTCACTGGCAACGTCACGGAGGACCTTCCTCGACGGGTTTCCGTCGAGCTCAGCATCATGAAGTATTTCTTTGGGATTCCCTTCATGATCCCCTGCTTTGATAACCACATCGGGTCCTGGTGAGTTATCCGTCCGAATTACCGCTATAATAGACGCGCCACCTTTGTTTGTTTGTTTGTTTGTCTATTTGTTTGTTTGTCTGTTGTTTAACGCCGCACTCAGCAATATTCCAGCTATATGACGGCGGTCTGTAAATAATCGAGTCTGGACCAGACAACCCAGTGATTGATATCATGAGCATCGATCTACGCAATTGGGATACGATGACATGCATCAAGCAAGTCAGCGAGCCTGACCACCCGATCCCGTTAGTCGCCTCTCACGACAAGCAAAGTCGCCTTTTACGGCAAGAAGACCTATTCTAACCCGGATCTTCACAGGTCGGACACGCCACTGATCTCCTGGGGTGGGTGAGATGGGAAATAGGTGCCTCAGGTTTTTTGAAAAAAAACTGGATGTGCTGAAAAACGTACTGTGGATAAAAAAATAAATATAAACAATAGTCCTGGTTTTGTTTCTGTAATTCGCGTGTTAGCATAAAGTTTCATATATATTACATATTATTATTATATATATTTATATATACACTTCTCCAGGAAGATGCATTTGAAACGTACCATACCATATTAGATATACCAGTGTGTTTTTATTTCAGCACGTATGATAATATATGCCACCGCCTGGAGAAGTATGAGCACTCCGGGTGTCCGAAGACGTTACGGTCGTATAACGTGCAGTGCCATTGCCCCTTCCAGGCCGGGGACTTCACGGTGGCCAGGGTGCCGGTCAATGTTCCAAAAATAAACGGCTTTGCTGGCGCTCTAATAAATGTAAGTGTATGTAATTTTATGTACATGTAATGCCATCAGACATTAACAATTGGTTTAATTACAATATTCGCCTCTTTCGTTGACCCCTCTTTCTCTCAGAGATTAACAAGTTTCAGGTTTTCTCTTCGCAGTACGAAAGAACTTATAACTCGTCGTTGACACTGACATACACTGATTGTGTCGTTAAAAAAACCTGCATGAAAAGCTACTTCAACACGTGTTTGTACATTTCATTTTGTGTCATCTGACATTTACAATGGGCTTAATTGCAATATCCGCACCCCTCCCCCCATCTCTAAGTGTCTGTCTGTCTGTCCCTCTCTCTGTGCCTGTCTGCCTGTCTCGCTCTCGCTCTCGCTCTCTCTCTGTGCGTGTTTACGAGGGTTTACCGTTTGAGGCGTGAGGCGTTCATGCCATCGACCACCGGTTTTCTGGTCCAAGCAAACAGGCGTTGACCAATCAGACACAGTTGGAACGACCAGTATATTCTACCCTGTCCTAACCTAGAAAGCCAAGACATTCTAACACAACGTTTACCCTCAAACACACATGTACTTGATCATTATTCCAAAGGGTATACCTACATAGAATTACTCATGAAGCTATAAAACGGGACCAAATATTAGGTCTACATCCCGTATGTTACAGATGAAATCCCTTCTGGGCACAAGTGGTCATTGTACTCCCGAATCTGTAATTCTATAAGCCAGGTGGGACCGACCCTGTTCTAGATGTAAGAAATATATTCACTTTGGCCTTAATTCATTTACAATAGCGTTTACTGAAATACGGGTCTGTCGTTTGGCGTCATGGTTGACATGGCAACAGCGGGGGGAGGGGGCTAATGTTAAATACATTTTTTGCACGAACAGGATCCGTTCAGTTAAATCTGTGCCCCCTCCCTCTCACCTCCGCGTTGAAATAACAAACGCAACAAGGACAGACAGGGAGACATAATGCTGTATTTTTCAAAACTTTCGCATCAGTCTCATCCCACAAAGGTGTGATAATGTTAAGCTTTCAAGCGAGAACTGTGCTGTTGTGTGAACGTCGAGACCTCACACCTATTCAGAAACAGGCTGAATTTTTTTGCGGGAGCCAATCACCTTTCAAAAGTCAACTTTTGAAACTAAATTCTGAAGGCATTGTCAAATTCGCAGTGCCACGAGGTTAATGGGTTTGTAAATCATCGCCGGTGTTCAGTTCTACGTCAGATGACGGTGGTCCATGCTATCCACCCAACACCCATTCAGCCTCACAAGAAGAGACCTCCGACCACGCCCACTTTCGGGGTGTAGGGAAAATTAAAGGCTTCAACGGGATGGCATTGTCACGTGATTACAAATTAGACTGAAGCTGAAATTCTACACAAAAGGCACTGATTCAATCCTCGGCTCTTAACGTGATCTTTCTGTTTTGATAAATGCGTTTGCTTTGGAAGGTACAATTATTATCAGGAAAGGCTGTCACCGTTTTTGTTGTATACTGGCCTGTAAATAAGCACGTATTTCCTGTTTAAGACAGATAAATGACTGTGAAAAACTTAAAAGAAATGGAGTTTTTACGTTTGCAATGTGAAGAAACATGACAGACTATTTTTAACCTTAATGACATACCTATCCATGCAGATATGCATTTCCAGATAACGAGGTAGTGGTTGTAAAGGGATACACAATTAGGGCAATTGTTGCAAAGCTGATATACGTGAACTGTCCCAACCAGATTTAAACGGCGACTACGTGGTGTACCCGTGCTGACATCTCTGCTTAAACTGGCAGGACAACTCATCAAGCATTTTTTTGTAGTTCTTCGTTCAAACTTTATTCACGCCACCAAAGTGTCCGATGGTTTTCTTTCCAAACCCAAACTATGGTATACCTCTAAGTTGTTTAGTTGTTGGTTCACCTAGTAGTTATAATAGGGTGTGACAGAAGCCTCAGTTTACATGGGGGCACAGATACCACAAGTATCTAAAGCGCCGCAATTTACTTCACAAAGTTGCGTCCCTGGGCCGTGCTTGGATCCTACAATCACAATTTGCGAAAAATGTTCCCAAATTGCCCCGATTATGTTTGTTAGTTTGTCCGTGCTCGATTAAGTGAAAAAAATGTCAAATCTGCATCAGTTATTTATAATGCTGAAACGTTCCCCTGTATGAGTGTGTCATGTTCCCCGTATGAGTATGTCATGATCCCTGTATGAGTATGTCATGTTACCTGTATGAGTATGTCATGTTCCCTGTATGAGTATGTCTTGTTCCCCGTATGAGTGTGTCATGTTCCCTGTATGAGTGTGTCATGTTCCCTGTATGAGTATGTCATGTTACATGTATGAGTATGTCTTGTCCCCTGTATGAGTGTGTCATGTTCCCCGTATGAGTATGTCATGATCCCTGTATGAGTATGTCATGTTACCTGTATAAGTGTGTCATGTTCCCCGTATGAGTATGTCATGTTACCTGTATAAGTGTGTCATGTTCCCCGTATGAGTGCGTCATGTTCCCTGTATGAGTATGTCATGTTCCCCGTATGAGTATGTCTTGTCCCCTGTATGAGTATGTCATGTTCCCCGTATGAGTGCGTCATGTTCCCTGTATGAGTGTGTAATGTTCCCCGTATGAGTATGTCATGTTACCTGTATAAGTGTGTCATGTTCCCCGTATGAGTGCGTCATGTTCCCTGTATGAGTATGTCATGTTCCCCGTATGAGTATGTGTTGTCCCCTGTATGAGTATGTCATGTTCCCCGTATGAGTGCGTCATGTTCCCTGTATGAGTGTGTCATGTTCCCCGTATGAGTATGTCATGATCCCTGTATGAGTATGTCATGTTACCTGTATAAGTGTGTCATGTTCCCTGTATGAGTATGCCATGTTCCCTGTATGAGTATGTCATGTTACCTGTATAAGTGTGTCATGTTCCCCGTATGAGTGCGTCATGTTCCCTGTATGAGTATGTCATGATCCCTGTATGAGTATGTCATGTTCCCCGTATAAGTGTGTCATGTTCCCTGTATGAGTGTGTCATGTTCCCTGTATTAGTGTGTCATGATACCTGTATGAGTATGTCTTGTCCCCTGCATGAGTATGTCATGTTCCCTGTATGAGTGTGTCATGTTCCCCGTATGAGTATGTCATGATCCCTGTATGAGTATGTCATGTTCCCCGTATGAGTATGTCATGTTACCTGTATAAGTGTGTCATGTTCCCCGTATGAGTGCGTCATGTTCCCTGTATGAGTATGTCATGTTCCCCGTATGAGTATGTCTTGTCCCCTGTATGAGTATGTCATGTTACCTGTATAAGTGTGTCATGTTCCCCGTATGAGTGCGTCATGTTCCCTGTATGAGTGTGTCATGTTCCCTGTATGAGTATGTCTTGTCCCCTGTATGAGTATGTCATGTTCCCCGTATGAGTGCGTCATGTTCCCTGTATGAGTGTGTCATGTTCCCCGTATGAGTATGTCATGATCCCTGTATGAGTATGTCATGTTACCTGTATAAGTGTGTCATGTTCCCTGTATGAGTATGCCATGATCCCTGTATTAGTGTGTCATGATACCTGTATGAGTATGTCTTGTCCCCTGTATGAGTATGTCATGTTCCCTGTATGAGTGTGTCATGTTCCCTGTATGAGTATGTCATGATCCCTGTATGAATATGTCATGTTCCCCGTATAAGTGTGTCATGTTCCCTGTATGAGTGTGTCATGTTCCCTGTATTAGTGTGTCATGATACCTGTATGAGTATGTCATGTCCCCTGTATGAGTATGTCATGTTCCCTGTATGAGTGTGTCATGTTCCCCGTATGAGTATGTCATGATCCCTGTATGAGTATGTCATGTTCCCCGTATGAGTTTGTCATGTTACCTGTATAAGTGTGTCATGTTCCCCGTATGAGTGCGTCATGTTCCCTGTATGAGTATGTCATGTTCCCCGTATGAGTATGTCTTGTCCCCTGTATGAGTATGTCTTGTCCCCTGTATGAGTGTGTCATGTTCCCCGTATGAGTATGTCATGATCCCTGTATGAGTATGTCATGTTCCCCGTATGAGTATGTCATGGTACCTGTGTAAGTGTGTCATGTTCCCCGTATGAGTGCATCATGTTCCCTGTATGAGTATGTCATGTTCCCCGTATGAGTATGTCTTGTCCCCTGTATGAGTATGTCATGTTACCTGTATAAGTGTGTCATGATCCCCGTATAAGTGTGTCATGTTCCCTGTATGAGTGTGTCATGTTCCCTGTATGAGTGTGTCATGTTCCCTGTATGAGTATGTCATGTTCCCTGTATGAGTATGTCATGTTCCCCGTATGAGTATGTCTTGTCCCCTGTATGAGTATGTCTTGTCCCCTGTATGAGTGTGTCATGTTCCCTGTATGAGTATGTCATGTTCCCCGTATGAGTATGTCTTGTCCCCTGTATGAGTATGTCATGTTACCTGTATAAGTGTGTCATGATCCCCGTATAAGTGTGTCATGTTCCCTGTATGAGTGTGTCATGTTCCCTGTATGAGTGTGTCATGTTCCCTGTATGAGTGTGTCATGTTCCCTGTATGAGTGTGTCATGTTCCCTGTATGAGTGTGTCATGTTCCCTGTATGAGTATGTCATGATCCCTGTATGAGTATGTCATGTTCTCCGTATGAGTGTCTCGTTCCCTGTATGAGTGTGCCATGTTCCCTGTATGAGTGTGTCATGATCCCTGTATGAGTATGTCATGTTCCCTGTATGAGTATGTCTTGTTCCCTGTATGAGTGTGTCTTGTTCCCGATGTGTGTGTTTCATGTCCCCCGTATGAGTGTGTCTTTTTCCCGCTGTGTGTGTGTCATGTCCCCCGTATGTGTGTCATGTTCCCTGTATGAGTGTGCCATGTCCCCTGTATGAGTATGTCTTGTTCCCTGTATGAGAATGTAATGTTCCCTGTATGAGTATGCCATGTTCCCTGTATGGGTGTGTTATGTTCCCGATGGTGTGTGTCATTTCCCCCGTATGTGTGTCATGTTCCCTGTATGAGTGTGTCATGTTCCCTGTATGAGAATGTAATGTTCCCTGTATGAGTGTGTCATGTTCCCTGTATGAGTATATCATGTTTCCTGTATGAGAATGTAATGTTCCCTGCATGAGTATGTATTGTTCCCTGTATGAGTGTGTCTTGTTCCCTGTAAGAGTGTGCCAAGTTCCCTGTATGAGTATGTCATGTTCCCTGTATGAGTATGTAATGTTCCCTGTATGAGTATGTCATGTTCCCTCTGTGTGTGTGTGTGTGTGTGTGTGTTCGGTCTCAATCCCTGTATGAGTATGGCATGTTCCCTGTATGAGTATGCCATGTTCCCTGTATGTCATGTTCCCTGTGTGTGTGTGTGTGTGTGTGTGTGTGTCTCGTTCCCTGTATGAGTATGTCATGTTCCCTGTATGAGTATGTCTGTATGAGTATGTCATGTTCCCTGTATGAGTGTGCCATATTCCCTGTATGTCATGTTCCCTCTGTGTGTGTGTGTGTGTGTGTGTGTGTGTGTGTGTCGTTCCCTGTATGAGTATGTCATGTTCCCTGTATGAGTATGTCATGTTCCCTGTATGAGTATGCCATGTTCCATGTATGTCATGTTCCCTCTGTGTGTGTGTGTGTGTGTGTGTGTGTCTCGTTCCCTGTATGAGTGTGTCATGTTCCCTGTATGAGTATGTCATGTTCCCTGTATGAGTATGTCATGTTCCCTTTATGAGTGTGCCATGTTCCGTGTATGTCATGTTCCCCGTATGAGTATGTCTTGTCCCCTTTATGAGTATGTCATGTTACCTGTATAAGTGTGTCATGTTCCCCGTATGAGTGCGTCATGTTCCCTGTATGAGTGTGTCATGTTCCCTGTATGAGTGTGTCATGTTCCCCGTATGAGTATGTCATGATCCCTGTATGAGTATGTCATGTTCCCCGTATGAGTATGTCATGTTACCTGTATAAGTGTGTCATGTTCCCCGTATGAGTGCGTCATGTTCCCTGTATGAGTATGTCATGTTCCCCGTATGAGTATGTCTTGTCCCCTGTATGAGTATGTCTTGTCCCCTGTATGAGTGTGTCATGTTCCCCGTATGAGTATGTCATGATCCCTGTATAAGTATGCCATGTTCCCCGTATGAGTATGTCATGTTACCTGTGTCAGTGTGTCATGTTCCCCGTATGAGTGCATCATGTTCCCTGTATGAGTATGTCATGTTCCCCGTATGAGTATGTCTTGTCCCCTGTATGAGTATGTCATGTTACCTGTATAAGTGTGTCATGATCCCCGTATAAGTGTGTCATGTTCCCTGTATGAGTGTGTCATGTTCCCTGTATGAGTGTGTCATGTTCCCTGTATGAGTGTGTCATGTTCCCTGTATGAGTATGTCATGTTCCCTGTATGAGTATGTCATGTTCCCCGTATGAGTATGTATTGTCCCCTGTATGAGTATGTCTTGTCCCCTGTATGAGTGTGTCATGTTCCCCGTATGAGTATGTCATGATCCCTGTATGAGTATGTCATGTTCCCCGTATGAGTATGTCATGTTACCTGTATAAGTGTGTCATGTTCCCCGTATGAGTGCGTCATGTTCCCTGTATGAGTATGTCATGTTCCCCGTATGAGTATGTCTTGTCCCCTGTATGAGTATGTCATGTTACCTGTATAAGTGTTTCATGATCCCCGTATAAGTGTGTCATGTTCCCTGTATGAGTGTGTCATGTTCCCTGTATGAGTGTGTCATGTTCCCTGTATGAGTGTGTCATGTTCCCTGTATGAGTATGTCATGATCCCTGTATGAGTATGTCATGTTCTCCGTATGAGTGTCTCGTTCCCTGTATGAGTGTACCATGTTCCCTGTATGAGTGTGTCATGATCCCTGTATGTGTATGTCATGTTCCCTGTATGAGTATGTCTTGTTCCCTGTATGAGTGTGTCTTGTTCCCGATGTGTGTGTTTCATGTCCCCCGTATGAGTGTGTCTTGTTCCCGCTGTGTGTGTGTCATGTCCCCCGGATGTGTGTCATGTTCCCTGTATGAGTGTGCCATGTTCCCTGTATGAGTATGTCATGTTCCCTGTATGAGAATGTAATGTTCCCTGTATGAGTATGCCATGTTCCCTGTATGAGAATGTAATGTTCCCTGTATGAGTATGCCATGTTCCCTGTATGAGTGTGTTATGTTCCCGGTGGTGTGTGTCATGTCCCCCGTATGTGTGTCATGTTCCCTGTATGAGTGTGCCATGTTCCCTGTATGAGTATGTCTTGTTCCCTGTATGAGAATGTAATGTTCCCTGTATGAGTATGCCATGTTCCCTGTATGAGTGTGCCATGTTCCCTGTATGAGTATATCATGTTCCCTGTATGAGAATGTAATGTTCCCTGCATGAGTATGTATTGTTCCCTGTATGAGTGTGTCTTGTTCCCTGTATGAGTGTGCCAAGTTCCCTGTATGAGTATGTCATGTTCCCTGTATGAGTATGTAATGTTCCCTGTATGAGTATGTCATGTTCCCTGTATGAGTATGTAATGTTCCCTGTATGAGTATGTCATGTTCCCTCTGTGTGTGTGTGTGTGTGTGTGTTCGGTCTCGTTCCCTGTATGAGTATGTCATGTTCCCTGTATGAGTATGCCATGTTCCCTGTATGTCATGTTCCCTGTGTGTGTGTGTGTGTGTGTGTCTCGTTCCCTGTATGAGTATGTCATGTTCCCTGTATGAGTATGTCTGTATGAGTATGTCATGTTCCCTGTATGAGTGTGCCATATTCCCTGTATGTCATGTTCCCTCTGTGTGTGTGTGTGTGTGTGTGTGTGTGTGTGTGTGTGTGTGTGTGTGTCTCGTTCCCTGTATGAGTATGTCATGTTCCCTGTATGAGTATGTCATGTTCCCTGTATGAGTATGCCATGTTCCATGTATGTCATGTTCCCTCTGAGTGTGTGTGTGTGTGTGTGTGTGTGTGTGTGTGTGTGTGTGTGTGTGTGTGTCTCGTTCCCTGTATGAGTGTGTCATGTTCCCTGTATGAGTATGTCATGTTCCCTGTATGAGTATGTCATGTTCCCTTTATGAGTGTGCCATGTTCCGTGTATGTCATGTTCCCTCTGTGTGTGTGTGTGTGTGTGTGTGTGTGTGTGTGTGTGTATAAGTACGGCGCATTCTATATCAGCTCGAGTTCGTCGGATCCCTTTCATATGTTTGTCGTCCCTCCATTTACGAGTATGTACTGGCGTTTTTATTTAATCATCCGCATAGAATATTTCATCGAATCATTCGCGTGAAATAAATTCATCCTCCAATCTTTCATCCCCCCTACCCCCGGGCAAGGAAGCACCTCTGTCTCCCGGACGGGGGAGCTACTCCCTCTGCCCCTCCCTTACCAAAGTACGCATCACCCAATTTACATCCTCCCCATCTTCCCCACCCCCGGGCCAGGAAACATCGAGTCAAGACGTCTCGGCCTCACGGCAGGGGGCATCCCTCACTGCCCCGGGGCCATAACTCAAGTTGGACCACCTACACACACGGCAGCACAGCTTACACATCTATGGACCTAATCTAGAGCTTCTTAACATCCAATTTTCTCAAATTCATTAATAAGCTTTATAGGCCTCTGGCTGAAGCAATGAGTCACTGACAGGTCGGTTGACACGAAGCCCTGAGCCTGTACGATTCACTCGAGAATTAGTAAACAGATGGGTTAGAAATAGCAGTCTGCCGTTATCGGAACGGAGTTGCTTTGGTTCATATCGCACACTATTACACAGAACTGAATTGTTTGGTGCATGCATATGAGAGCGACACACAATGCTAGCAACGGTGTTATCCGAAACGAGGTGTTCGTGGTGAACTCCCGTTGTTCAAATGCAATTAAGCCCAATTTCCTATCAAAATTAATCATTTTTAATGCACTAATACTCGCTTGTCCATGTTTCCGGAAACTGATGAATTGAAGAGAACGTTTGTACTTTTATTGACTCCACACACACACACACACACACGCACGCACGCACGCACGCACACACACACACACACACACACACACACACACACCTGCTTGTTTCCTTACTTTAGACAAGTTGCAGTCATCCATGTTCCATCCTAATAGATGATGGTGTGGTAGCCTATTGGGCCAAGCGTTCGCTTGTCAAGCCACAGCCTCGGGTTCGATTCCACGCATGGGTAAATGTTGAAATCCCATTTCAGCTGTTCCCCGCCATCATATTGCTGGGAAATAATGCAAAAGGCGTAAAACCATACAAACTCACTCACTCACTCACTCATGCTAAGAACGTTTACTAGTTAGCAAACTCTCTTAAATATTCATATTTATTCATGTTCGTTGTTTCAGGGAGACTATGAACTTGTATTGAGCATCTTGGATGAAAACAGGTCGCAACTTGGATGTCTGGAGTTGAAATTTTCCATGAAGAAGCGGCATCGGGGGTGGCTGTTTAAGATCTGAAAAATATACAAACAGTGGCTCATTCTGCTACATGTAGGCCAACTGGCCCGACAAGGAACGAAACAATCGTCTGCGCATGCTTGGAGGGGCCGAGTGAGCGGAAGTTACTCCGCAGTGAATAATTTCGTCCAATCGCAGATCCGTTCACAGTTCAATTTCCTGCGGAACACGTGTGCCATGGCCCAATGGATGTAAATATCAACTTCCTCTCAGGACCGTGTTTGTGTTAAAAGTGTTGAGTGATGGACTGATAACACGACTCGTGGTGAGGAAACGGTTGCATATGTCGCTGTTGTGTGAGTGAACAGCCTGCGTTAAACGCGTGCCTTATATGTTTTACTAACGCCGCCGATCAACCCGTCTTCAGAACTGTGTTGTTTGTGATGCCTATAGCCAAATCGGTTGTATATTTGAAATGTTGTAATATAATGTGTATTATACGTATGTTTTTGTTACCCCCACTGCCAAAACTAACCACACAAGAGTGATCTTGCCCAGGCGACAAGATCCTGCTATCTCCGATATGTTTTCGGGACCTGGGGAGATGTTTTTAATGGTTGTATTAAATGTCAGAGACGCGTGTTTAAACACAAACATCGATCTATCTTCCTGTTGCATATCAAGTGCTGTCTCTTCTCAGACTTGAGAGAACTCTTGGCCATTTTACAGGCGCTTCATGCGCTATTAACACGATGTTATTGATTGGGAGTTGGGGACGTTTACATGAAAACAATTTTGATTTGTATGATTTCAGATGTCGGAAATCCATGAAAACAGAATTGAAGTAAAAGTTTAAATGGTTTTAACGACCACATAACTTACATATTTTAATATGTATTGATGTTTTCAACAAGTTCGAAATGTATTGACGTTTAAAACAAATCCGTACCAGAAGTTTTTTCAATGAAATACAAAATATGGTGACTCGTTTTAACTGAATTCATTACCCAAAGGTGCCATACGTTTAAGTGTGTTTTCAACAGGATCGGGGAACATCCCCCCTGTGCAATGTAAGGGCGTAATGTTTCAGACACTTCACAATCGCTGTCAATCGCTTAATTTACAATCTTATCAGCTTTTTCACTACTCCAGTGACGGTTTAACTTTATTCAGTACGTTAAATAACATAATGTGTTGATTGGACAAATTTGAATGATAACTTAGTGTGGAATAGTCGTCGCGTGGTACAGCGGGATATAATTTTTGAAAAGTGCTAAATCAGGCCTACCAAAGAAAACAATTTGTTAGGTCTCTAAATACTTAGTGTAATGACACATATGCTCAGTACTCGTGTTGATTTCCTTGAGTGTAATAGCCTCTGTGTTAAAGGACAATATCCAGCTGTACCCAATGGACGATATTACGAGGATCTATGGACGTTCGTAAAATGTTTACATTCATTGTGGGGTTAAACGAACAGGTTTTATTAAAATGTGTAGAACTAGACACATGATATGTTTACTTCCTACTAAAAACAAAATAACTATAACTATAAACAAAATAACTATGACTATAAAGAAAATCGAGCCTTGAACCTTGAAAAACTGGGAATCATGAAAAAACGTCACGGACTTGAAATGTTGACGTGTACTCAAATGTCGAGTCCTGCACACTATACTAAAGTGGGGAAATGTAAATCCCCAATTAGATTAGTTTATTTTTTAAAATATTTTTTAATATCTTATTTGTGGACACTTAAGCTTACCCTGAGAATCATGAACATTGCCCTTGGAACAGATGCAAATTAATTTTCAAAACATTCAAAAGACCAAACTTAAGTTAAACAACTGAAGACAGACTGACGTGTAACAGAATTTGAGTGTTTGTGCAAAACTAATATCAAACATACCATGTTTTAAATGCAAACCTAATTACGATTTTGAGAAATCGCTCTGAATAGTTGTTTGGATAACCTTATTCATAATTGGCTAGAATTATAAATCAAAGTAGACTGGTTCTCTGGGTAGGCTGTGTTTACACTCAGTGGGGCGCAAGCGCAGCCTACCAAGGGAACCAGACTGAAACCAAGGCCGTTTGCTGGACTGCCATATCAAAATAAACAGTGTAACGTTCTCAAGAACTCGACAACTATCTCGTCATTTCTAATTATGAGTGACGGTGAAATGAAAAATGTCTGCAAGGTAGCTGAAATGGTCATTGTTAATAACCGTGACTCGATGGTAGCTACTTAGAATACTGGATGTCTTGTGTTTGTTTTTGTACAGTTTTCTCTATACCAACTATGACTGTAAACTTTTGCTAATAAAAACAAATATGTCTCCTTCAAGAACCTTGTTACGTTTCTCACCTCATAGTTACCTAGCAGCACCATATAAAATGTGCATGCTTTGGGGTTTTGACTGAAGTCGACGTCGCCGCCACACTTTTGTTTTTGGTAAGTCCCCATGGTCCCTGGTATGGTGATCTCCCTTTAGTTACTGACGATCTCTAGCCAATTTTTATATTGTGTTGTTAATTCTTTCTGCTTTTAAATGTTCCTCAACTAGTGTTAGATAGACTCTGTGATTTTCTAGTTATTGTACCTTCCTTTGATGACAGGTTTTTATAAAGTTTAGATATTTGTGTTAAAAAATGTATTACTTCTCGTCACGATATGGCTAAAATATTGCCGATGTGACGTTAAATATTAACTCACTCACTCACTCACTTTTGTTTTTAAAATCATGCAGTGCTTGGATTAGGGATATCCTATAACCTCTTTTATTGCACTTGGTAATTTTTGACACATCGATATGCCACGGTGGCAAGGTTACTTTCAAGGTTATTACTCAAGGGTATTGCACTCAGTCTGTAAGTAATCGAGTCTGGACCAGACAATCCAGTGATTGATATCACGAGCATTAATCTAAACAATTGGGACACGATGACATGCATCGTAGTAGTTCCTGACCACCCGATGCCGTTAGTCCCCTCTCACGACAGCATAGTCGCCTGTTTCGGCAAGCATGGGTTGCTGAAGATCTATTTTCCCCTGGATCTTCACGGGTCGGTCGACATATGGAGTAAACTATGTTGTAGGGATAGTCAAGGTGTCGTTCGTTCAGAATGTTTTTAAAAATATACGTTAATTTGAGAAATGAAGTTTGAACCTTCAAAGAGTAGGAGCCAAAATGTACGAACGCCGGAGCTTGCATATCTATGAAGCTTCACATTAGAGGACGGTAGGATAGCCTCGTTGACAAAACGCTTTCTCGTCACAAAGCGGCGTAAAATCATACTCACTCATTTATTAACGAATTTATTTGCTGCTTTATTGTCTAGTCAATAGTATTATTACAGCCCAGTTTGATTCAATCCAAATATCCAATACCGTTTTGCAAAGCCTCTTCATATAGGGTACAGGCCGGTGTGCGATTTTTAAGTCGATTTTATCGCCGCTTCCTCCGTTCTTTCTCCTTCTGTAAGGTGGTTGTTTAACACCGTACTAATCGAATCTTGAATAGACAAACCAGTGATTGATATTATGAGCATCGTGTAACGCCGTCGGGATGTATGTCAACTAAGTCACTGAACCTGAAAACTAAATCTATTCAGTCGCATCATACGACAAAGATAGGTTTACTTATCGGTTGTTTAACTCTGCAATATTCAAGCTATACGAACATCGATCTACGCAAGTGGGATACGATGACATGCATCTAATACGAAGCAACATGATCACGGGGGTATATGTGAGGGAATGCATTAGTGCACATTAAAGACCTATCTCTTACTGACTGTCTAAAGTTCCACATCACCTGTGCTAATGTGCTCACATCTGACGGATTTAACTGATTTTATTTATCGTTATCGAACGTTAAGCCTTTCCAAAACCAGCCGTTACATTTTAGAACTGTTTGCGATGGCGATAGGAGGATGACAGCGACATATCTTCTTGCTCGAGGTAGCGGAAAAAGTCGACACGGAATACGTCGGGAGTTCATTTGTGTACGAGGGGTCTTAGACGTGTAGGGTTGCGTCCCTTAGTCGAAATATATACAGACTGTAGGTTCGAATCCCGGTTTCGCCCTGAATATTTTGCTTTGTTCTTCAGAGCAATATCCTTTCTCGTGGGTTTCACCATTGCGGTAAACGTCTACGGCTTGTATCATCTGGAATTTCCTTTGACTTGATTTTGTTCTTATACCAGAGCTCGTCGTCATACAGCTAAAAAACACAACACAGCTACGTAAATATCAGCTCCGATAAAGCGTCTCTTGCAAATTACCTTTCATTACATTGATAATTTGGCAATCTCATTCCAGTCAGATCTGTTCTCAGTTTGCATTGAGATCCAATGAAAGTTCCATTTGAGATCCTGTCCTAGTTTTTAAAGAATACAATAACAGTTTTGAATGACGAGGAGGAACTCCCCGATGTGGCCAAAGTAGTCACCGGTTTATTTACATGCACGTTTCTTTAAAGAAAATCAACTACACAACAGGTAGCAAAAAAAATCAGTTACCGGTCAAAAGGTAAGCGATAAACAATAATGAAGGGTAAATGTATTTCAAACAAAAGAAACGACAAAATATAGACGGAAAATTATTAATTTCCAATCCACTGTTATTCCGGTTTGTTATGGTTTTGTTTATTCTGTTATGAGCCACCGGCCCATTACACAAGTATACAAGAGCGCGCGCGCACACACTGTCTCTTAAATGCTGTCTCTTAAATCTGCATAGAATCGACATTGGAGGCAGAAATGGTATTCTGATTCTTTTTGTTTGTTAAAACTACTTTTCAAGAGGGCAGTTTTGATTTTAAATAGAATAGTATTTACTTGATGTTTAATCAACACACATAATTCATGAGTTTTTTAAATATGGAACATAAATTACAAACAATGATTTTGTTAATATTTTATTTATGTGGTGATTAGTGTAATTATAGAGAATAAGAGGAATTATTAATGATAAAGAACATAAAATTCATACAAATATTGTGGAACCTTGAAATAACAGAGAATCACAGGAACTCGTTATTGGTCAGTAAATAAAAATATATACCCCCTACATGTTCTCTACTTACATATAGGGGGTATATATTTTTATTTACTGACCAATAACGAGTTCCTGTGCAGAGAATGCAAAGTTAATTCAAAATGACAAAATGGCCGATAGTAAAAATGTACTGTTAAACCTTGTATGTTCGGACAACGTTAATCTGGAGACGCTGCTGACCTGATTAACGGGGGTTGACTGTTCTCATTATATGTGCATCATATTGGTTTAATATCGTGATGGTAAATGACCACGTGACGGCTGTTGATGTTCGGTGAACGGCGATGGATCAGTGAGCAGTGAAGGTCGTGTGGGTCAAGAAGTTTCCCCACTCTTGGTTGGTGAGTAGGAGACGGTCCTGCAAAATTACAGATAGATACACAGGTATTCTACCTACTATGAAACTGGATACGAACTACAGAAAAAAACTCTGCAATATGCCGTTCATAATTTCAAGGGACGCAACTCTTGGTTGGTATATTTCAATCAATGTTTCCGAGGTCTGTGCATTCGTGACCAACTCGTGTTATTCCGGGACAAGCTAAATGATAAGTTACGGAGAGGGGCGAGTGGTGACGAATGATGTCGATGGTAATTTGAGCAAAATATCTTTTAGGGGTTGACAGTAATGATGTGGTTGAATTAGAGAATTTACAACGAAAGCAAATCATTGTCAATGCATCCCCAACATGCTTACCGATCTGACGGGCGCTGGATGGGACACCGGAGTTTCCCCTTGACACATAGGAAGACGATGAGTCCGACAACAGCCAGTACCACGGGGATGCCGATACCGAGCCCAATGGACAACGGTGCATATCTAGGGTTTTATTGAAGAAAGAAAATTGCAACAGGAAATTCTTGAAAAGAATAATTATGCTTCAGACTGTTGGAAGAAATAGAATGGCACATAAATACATTGATGTAAGATGTGATGTTTTTATCCGGTTTTGTAGCTGCAGCTGAAAAAGCTATCCTGTACCCATACAATGTCATCCCGGGACAAGCCGAATGGCGAATCGTACATCTACGCCATACGTAATTACCACATTTTGTAGGCGCCGAAATAAGCCGAGGGGATCCGAGTGTCCCTCCCATTTCGTGGTCATGTGACTAGGTTCCGTCTCAGTGACGCCTCTATATTTAGAGGGGGCACGGGTGGCCCAGTCGTCTGAGGCGCCGCGATTCGCTGTGCAGAGTTGCGTCCCTTGGGCACGCCAGAAACCTATGATTGTGGGTTCGAATCCCGGTTCGCCCCGATTATGTTTCTAGGTTTGTCAGCACCATACCCGTGCTCGTGGGTTTCACCGAAGTGGTAAACGTCTTAGACCTGCATCACTTCGGGCTTTCCTCCCACATTAAGCTGGCACGCCGTGATATAACTGGAAAACTGTTAAAAGCGGCGTTAAACCCAACTCACTCACTCACTCTATATTTAGATATGGCAAAAAAAATAATTAACCATACATGCAACATTGCTGTGTAGGCCGACAGATATTTTCTTATTCACTCTGTTCATATAACCAAAATGAGATTTGAATACTAACAAATTTGATTTATCAGCGTTGCAGCAGTGTTTGTGTCTTCCTGATCCACAGCAGTACTCTCCCTTTTCACAGTATACGGGCAGTCTAATCTTTACGGCCTTGGTAAGGTAACAGTAGCCATGGACTTGCACTGAAAAAATCATATTGCAGGTGTGGTGTTGATGTTGTTGTATGGAAGTGTATTTTATTGTTTAACAATTGAGATTCGGTAGACGGTCATTGCATTGTGTTTGGGCAGTGATAAGTCGTCGGAAATGTAGTACTGTTTAATATAAGCAGTCATCAGGAAGTGTGTATATTTATATACTAGTTCGGTGTGTAAACTTCCGGTATACTGTGGACTGGTATGAATATTCGGTGGTGTGATCTGGAAGCGAGTTGGAATGTATATAAGGGTAGCGTGTTTACGCATCTCTCACACGTTTGGTCTCTCACACATTTCGTCTCGCACGCATTTTCATCGCTTTAGAACCAGCTTTCATGTGAGGATCGCTCATCATCCCTGACACCCTGCCTAGTCCATCACTGACTTTTGCTATCACCACTGTATTTTGTATTTGATACTGACCACTGCCATCATATTATTTGTTGCCATTGGTTATTGTACTCCCATTTTATTGGCACACCCTGGTATAACTGACATACAGCTAGCACACCGTGGTATAACTGACATACAGCTAGCACACCGTGGTATAACTGACATACAGCTGGCACACTGTGGTATACCTGACAAACAGCTGGCACACCGTGGTATAACTGACATACAGCTGGCACACCGTGGTATAACTGACATACAGCTGGCACACCGTGGTATACCTGACATACAGCTGGCACACCATGATATACCTGACATACAGCTGGCACACCATGGTATACCTGACATACAGCTGGCACACTGTGGTATACCTGACAAACAGCTGGCACATCGTGGTATAACTGACATACAGCTGGCACACCGTGGTATACCTGACATACAGCTGGCACACCGTGGCATACCTGACATACAGCTGGATACCGTGGCATACCTGACATACAGCTGTCACACCGTGCCATACCTGACATACAGCTAGCACACCGTGACATACCTCACATACAGCTGGCACACCGTGGTATAACTGACATACAACTGGCATACCGTGGCATACCGTGGCATACCTGACATACAGCTGGCACACCATGGTATACCTGACATATAGCTGGCACACCATGGTATACCTGACATACAGCTGGCACACCATGGTATACCTGACATACAGCTGACACACCGTGGTATAACTGACATACAGCTGGCACACCGTGGCATACCTGACATACAGGTGGCACACCGTGGTATAACTGACATACAGCTGGCACACCATGCCATACCTGACATACAGCTGGCACACCGTGGTATAACTGACATACAGCTGGCACACCGTGGTATACCTGACATACAGCTGGCACACCGTGGCATACCTGACAAACAGCTGGCACACCGTGGTATAACTGACATACAGCTGGCACACCGTGGTATACCTGACATACAGCTGGCACACCATGGTATAACTGACATACAGCTGGCACACCGTGGCATACCTGACATACAGCTGACACACCGTGCCATACCTGACATACAGCTGGCACACCGTGGCATACCTGACATACAGCTAGCACACCGTGACATACAGCTGGCACACCGTGGTATAACTGACATACAACTGGCATACCGTGGCATACCTGACATACAGCTGGCACACCATGGTATACCTTACATACAGCTGGCACACCGTGGCATACCTGACATACAGCTAGCACACCGTGACATACCTCACATACAGCTGGCACACCGTGGTATAACTGACATACAACTGGCATACAGTGGTATACCTGACATACAGCTGGCACACCGTGGCATAACTGACAAAATGTTGAAATCGTTGTTCTGTACATTCGACTCAATCATCACAATTGTTTTAACAATTTGATAAATACATAACGTATGTAACGGAGGCGTCATATATTATAAGCGCCTTGAACAGGTTTCCGTACTATTTCTTCCATAATTACAATATATATCCCGAACTTTCCTTTTCCTTTTGGAAATGTCTACATATGACGTATCCAATTTTGAATAAGTTTTAATGTGAAGTTTTTTACACTACATACGGCTATTCCATTCGACGAGAGGCCGGTCAAAAGACCGAGAAACTGACGTTCATACTGTATTCTTGAAATGGCATGAACACTGTCTGACTACGTCCATTCCTAGGGAAAACCTGGGAGGTCCCTTGCACGACTAAATACAGAAGCATTTTCTGATCATTTTGACCCTTTAATCTTGAACTTAGCATTCAGCCAAAGAGTTTGACTCCATGACCGTTCCTTGAATAAAACGGAAAAATGCACACCCAAACTATCGATTCGATCTCTAGACTGACAGTGACAATGTACATCAATCTATGCTTGACCATAGTATCTACTTGACACATCGTTTATTAATGACGTTGGTTTGTCTGTTGTTTTACGCCGCACTCAGCAATATTCCAGCTATATGACGGCGGTCCGTAAATAAGTCTGGACCAGACAATCCAGTGATTGACATCAGTTAAAACTTCGGAAATCCTTCCCGTTACATTTATCCTGTCGGCCATGTATATATCCTGTACTTGATGTAAATGTATTACGACGCGCTGCCATTGTGACTGCCTTACTGAGGTAGTTCTTAACACGCCTTCTTCATCCAAAGATGATATTGTCTGATTATATGAATTGACATTCACTTTGTGTGAGTTCATTTGAGTATGGTATGTCCACACAGTTTAAACTTCACTCAGTGAAGGTTCATACAAGGAACTCACACGAAAGTGTAAGTTCGTTCTTGGTTATTGTTTACAAAATACCAACACTGTTGATCTTGAATGGGCCCCTTCCGCGAAATCCCGAATTCCGCGAACTGACGATATTTGAATGACGTTAGTCATCCGGATCTCCGGTAGGTGTCACTATGATAAGATGCATTCGGAATACGTCAATGGCGACGTAATACATGTCACCGTAACATATACAAACATATCCCTGATATATATCTCTGATACATTTAGGGACAGAAAATTATTATTCGGGGTTGGGGGTTGAAACTGAATAAATATTCTTAAAGGTTTTACTAAAAGATAAAATGGCGAGGCTTCTCTTTTCAGAGAAACAAAAGGTGTAGTGAATGTTTCAAGAGAAACAATGGGTGTCGGGAAATCTGACCTGAAATCCCAACCAGGATAAAAACGGAAACTTTAATGAAATACTAAAAACAGACCGACCTTGCATATAATGCGATGATCATGTAAATAGGTACATGCGTTTACTATGGTGTGTTTGTTGTTTAACGCCGCACTCAGCAATATTCCAGCTATATGACGGCGGTCTGTAAATAGTCGAGTCTGGACCAGACAATCCAGTGATTGACATCATGAGCATCGATCCACGCAATTGGGATCGATGACATGCATCAACCAAGTCAGCGAACCTGACCACCCGATCCCGTTAGTCGCCTCTTACGACAAGCATAGTCGCTTTTTACAGCAAACATTTTGGCCATTTGTTAGATTGTCGCGTTGTCGCATTGTCGCACTTTGGATGATATATTTAATTTTATCAAAGGGCGACAATGCAACAACGCGACAATGTCCATTTTCTGACTCCATAGTCTACAGTAAACAGTGATAAATTCACTGTCGTCTCAGCGAAACCGGGTAAAAACCGAAACCATCAGTAGTACGTGACAACATCACAGCTGTACGCGACAACCTCCCAGTTTTGAAATACCCACCGCACGTGTCTCTTCTAACTCTATTCAAGCATTACCTGTAATGTAGAGAAGCATGAGTGTCCAGGCCAACGCCATCCCCATCGCTGAACGTCTCTCGGGTATGCCGTCTCTCGGGTATGTATGTGATGACCTCAAACTTGTCTCTCACTTTCCTATACGGCTATACTTAGCCGTGTCGCAAGCGGGGTAAACCCACAAGACGGAAAAGATTTCGCAAGGACACACTCGATGTGCCTAATTCATGCGAATAGGGCTGCTATTCACAAACACCTTTATGCAATATTAAGTGTTCTACCAAGGCACCTTGTGCCATTCAAGCAGACGACAAACACGCCATAAGTTAGATCTCGGCGGAGGGTCCGAGGGTTTTTACAAAAGTTAGCAGTCGTTAACCCGGATAATGATTACGCATATAACATCAATACACCACACAATAGGTGTACAGTATTTTTGTCGGGTTTTTGGATTGTGTGTGTGTGTTTGTTAGTTTGTGTGTTTTAGCAATACCGTAGTTAATTCAAAATACAAAAAGTATTATATATTTTTCGACAATTTATTTATTCTATCCAACAGTGGAATCTTATAATTTCCCCAGTCGAATAATGTTTCTAATGGTAATGATAGTCACTCGTTGCAGGCAGGTACACGTTCTGTTTTACGTTGAGGGTTGTTATTATATATTCTTTAACGCCCGTATGCCGGATTAGAATTGACCCCCGGCAACCTTTGCTGGTCGTAAGAGGCGTCCAATGGATCGGGTGGTCCGACACTGCGACTTACTTCATTACCAGCGTTCGAAATACCTGCCTGCCCGACCGTCCGAGACGGGTTGATTTCAACTCGGGCTGCCAGAGTTTCAAATCCCCCTGTCCGACGGTCGGGTCATATTTCATAGTTGAAAATATTCTAAATATTTCCCGATGATAAGCATTAATTCACATGTAAAGAAGAATGATAAAATGTAACAAAAAAGAAATCCCGTTAGCTTTTAGACAACCTAACATTTAGCGATGCGCTTATGCTACAAGCAATCAGTTTTCATAATTTTAATTAAATTATCCTGAGAAACATATGATTATAGTGGGCAGGCAGATTTTGGTCAGGGCTGGCAAGTATTTCAGCTAGCCAGTCCTGTGGTCTGGCTGAATTTTTGGGGAGTTTCATACCCTGTCATTACGCGTCATTGTACCCGGTGGCCTGGATCGTCTGGTCCAGACACAATTAATTACAGCGGAGAGAGGCGGATATTGCAATTAAACCCTTTGTAAATGTCAGATGGCATTAAATGAAATGTACAAACACGTGTTGAGGTAGCCTTTCCTGCAGTTTAGTTAACGACACAATTGGTGTATTTCAATGTCAGCGACGAGTTATTAGTCCTCTCGTAAGCAACGTAACGAGAAAACACGATATTTGTGAATCCCTTTGATTTCATTTCGCTGGTAACAGTACTGCCTGGATTAACGAGGCTGTCTGGTTGTGAATATTCCAACCACATGTCGGCGGTTTGGATATATAAAATCAAGTCTGGACCAGATAATTCAGTGATTGATATCACGAGCATCGATCAACGCAATTTGGATACGATGCCATACCGTTATATATCTTGAACATTTCTGAATGCCACGTTTCTGAAAGTCGAGACGATAATGTCTTCCTGTTTATCAATTATTTGTATTCATGTGAGTAAGTTTGGTTTAAAGCTGTTTTGAACAGTATTTTATTTATGTACGACGTGTCATTTTGATGTGGAAGGAAAAACCAAAGTGATGAAGGTCTCAGATGTTTACCACTTTGGTGAAACCCACGAGCACGGTATGGTGATGACACAACCAAGGAAGAAATCCTGGCAGGTCTAAGGGACGCAACTCCTCACTTCGAAATCGAATCAAGAATAAGCACAGAAACATACCTGAAACATGTTTGTAGTTTATTTACACAAACATGGGTTTTACAACACACCTGTATATACAAACTTTCACTTATGTACAATGTATATCTATTAACAAGTTATAAACATCACACGGTAAATGACGGTCGACGGACAAAGTGAGTGAGGGAGTCAATATGGTTTTACACCACTTACAATATACCAGCAATATCGCGGCAGTGCACGCATTAGAAATAGGCTTCACTCATTTTTCCTATGTGTGGAATCGAACCCGGTTTTTCGGCATGACGAGCGAACGCTTTATCCACAAGGCTTCTGCAATTAACTTGTCACAGAGCTGATCTCCATCTTCAGTAAGTTTTACGCAGGACGAGGCGCTGAGGAAACATTCAGAATCCCACGGGGAGTTTCTCCATCACGGGTACACCGGAAACCGCTGACACGTTCTGGGTCTCTTCTGTCGCTTCTCTCGCTTGTGTGTCTTAGTTGAAGTGAGAGTCCTGTAGAATAGAAATAAATACATTAGAGGTAAGTGAGGTGAAGCAGGATTTAACGTCGCGTTCAAGATTACTGCACTTATATTGAAGATAATGTAGACATCCCTAAAACGGACCGTGTGAGTATCAGTTGTCAAGAGAATCTCATTAGGATGGTGACAGTGCAACACATCTGGCAAAAAACGCTAAAATGACCGCTACAGAGCTAGAACACCAGGGTGTTGGTTCGGAATAATGACGGTCTTATAGTGCAAGGTGAAGGCCGTTACAGCTTTCTTGACGTTCCGTTTTCAACGACAGTTTTGACACTTGCTAATGTGGAGGCGTTTAATATCGCCTGGATTGAAGTTCCAGACAATTCTGCAGTTCTGCGACCGCGGAAAGATTTGCGGAAAATGTAACTCACCACAGAATTGCTGAATATTTCGGAATTTGCAAAGCCCTTCTATAACTCAATACACTATCTTTCATTATTTTCACCGCCTCCCTGGCCTAGTGGTAGAGCGTCCGTCCAGAGAGCGGACCGTCCGGGATTCGAGACTTTAATAGATGGTACTTGTTTTTACCCTGTCTGGTACTCGGTATTAAGGGGCTAAATCAAGGACTGGTCGGCTCGGAGTCAGTATACTGTGTCTGAGTGGGGTATTCGTGTTAAACTGCGGCATTGTATCTCAGTGGGCTGGCACTATTAATCGACATAAATCCGGACTAGTACAAGCAGCCACAGACACACACACACACGCACGCAAGCACGCACGCACGCACACACATTTGCCTTATGATGTACAATAGTGGACAGTATTACTACTTAGGATAATTAATGACATCTTTAGAATATCTATTGCGTTTCTAAAGTGCTTAGAAAATATACTTACCTAGACTGTTAAGTAAAGGTGGATTCGAGCTTGAGAATAGCATTTTACGATTTTGCTGGTTTGGATGGACAATAATACTTTTGTAACATGCACACACGTCGCTTTATCAGTGCAATAATCAATATCGTTAACTTACCTAATCAGGTCGTCGACACAGCTTCCACCAACAGCCGAAAATGGCAATTCCTATGAAGGTCAGGCCGAATGGAACTCCAACACACAGCCCTATGATCAGCGGCGAGTTACTGTACGGAGAAAACACAACAGGTACATATTATGTCTAGGTTTTGTAGTACAAAATTATTCGCAGTTACTCTCTGCTTTGTGTTTCATATTTCATGTCATGCTTGTTTTTTGGTAACTATGGAGACTGCAAATATTTTTCAGCTACATCTGCAAAACCAGATATTTTTTTATTAAAACTATTCGCCTAAATATCGTTTCCGAAAAAACCCTTCTTGCAATAATGTCCTTTTTGTGGCAGACAATAACATCTGGCATGCAACCACTGAACCTGACCATTAAGTCACCGGTTACGAGAGTTAAGAAACTAACGGGATCGGGTGGTCAGGCTCGCTGGTTTGATGTTTGCATGTCATCGTTTCACAGTTGAAGAGGCGGTATGTGACGTCCTTTGATATTCCTGGAATGTTGCTAAAAGCGGCGTCAAACCTCACTCACTCACTCAAACACTCACTCATTCCTTTCATTAAGGTGAGATTGTGAATATGAGTAGGAATAAGTAGATATGACACCGAAATGTAAAGTGTCAGAAAAGCTACTCACTCTACTTCCCCATTCTGACAACATCTTTTAAACTTTCCTAGCCCACAGCAGTACTCCGACTTAAAGCAGTTTGTGGGGAAGATGCCACGGCGGAAGTAACAGAATCCATGCACCACTTCTGAAAGAGAGAACACAGTGAAATGTGAGAGTAATAGTATTGCATCAAGTCTGATAACGTGTAACGTCGCATTTGAGTCTGGCAATGGCGCAGGTAAAGGTCATTGGTAAAAGTGAAAGTAATACCATTGCCATCATAACATGTAACGTCACATATGAGCCTGGCAATGGCGCAGGTGAAGGTCATTGGGGCATTGGTAAATGTGAGAGTAATATCATTGCCATCACAACATGTAACGTCACTTTTTAGTCTGGCAATGGGGCAGGTGAAGGTCATTGGTACATTGGTAAATGTGAGAGTAATATCATTGCCATCATAACGTGTAACGTCACATGTGAGTCTGGCAATGACGCAGGTGAAGGTCATTGGTACATTGGTAAATGTGAGAGTAATATCATTGCCATCATAACGTGTAACGTCGCACGCGAGTCTGGCAATGGCGCAGGTGAAGGTCATTGGTAAATGTGAAAGTAATACCATTGCCATCATAACATGTAACGTCACATATGAGTCTGGCAATGGCGCAGGTGAAGGCCATTGGTACACATGTATTCAGCATTCCATCATGTTACAAGCCAATCAGGCTAAATCTTGTGCGTCTGTAGCAACCCCCGACAACGACCTTGACCTGAGTCATTTCCTGCACAAATGATTCAAATGGGCGGATTATAAGGGTACAGATTTGGTGTAGGACAAACATGTAGCGTTCAGGCAGAGACATCACCAAGAGGGGTACCCGTTAGTTTACATGGGGATAAATAGGGACTATTTGTCTTTCATTGTTAAATGACATGATTATCTCATGGAGTGACAGGGCAAATTTATATGTTTTATCAGTCAACTTTTTCAGGTCACGTGATGAGATAAACATGTTATTTGACAAGACAAATGGTCAGTTTATTATACTTTATTATACTTTTTTCTAACTGATCTTCACGGTGTTACTCCGAAACCCACGGCGCCGTTGAAGCAGACTGAGTGGGGTATAGTTTTACGTCGCTTTTTGCAATGTTCCAGTAATATCACGACCCCGGACACAGGAAATGGGCTTCACACATTGTACCCATGTGGGGAATCGAACCTGGGTCTTCGGTGTGACGAGCGAGCGCTTTAACCACTAGGCTATCCGACCGCCAGACTTGAAGTAGTTGCGGCATAAAGTGTATACTTGGAGGTAAATGTAGTATTTCATCACAAAATACTCAAAAGATCAACACGTCTTGCCGAAAACCGATATGAACATGATCACACTTGGTTCTCGGACTGTCAAGGTGTCTTGACTGTGTCGAGCGAAGTAATTCGATCATGAATGAAATAGTAAATTTTACTCCGGATACATTATTATGAGTAAAGGACGAGGTAAATATATACAAAACGTCAGCGCAAGAGAATAATCAGTGTCGATTTTCTGCGGAAATAATATTCTATTGGGCGCAAAGGGAAAAAATAGTGGTGTAAAGTTTTCTTGAACCCGTTATCTCGAATGTACCAATATCTCAGGCCCCGACCGCCTCAATATATAAATACATATTATTTTGCCAAAATCTCGAATTCGAGATATAGATACATAACGCCATCTCGAACCTGAGAATCGGTCAAAAGGAAACAAGAATGCCACTTTGTTGTTTTAGACAAGTGGACAGACTACATAGTGATTGCTGCTTTGCATAATTAGGTACATGTTTACTGTACATAATTTGTCACAATTGGTATCAATCATTGCCCGTGGAAACATTTCAATTTTACATGGCATACACGTGTTATTCTTAATTCCTTATGTTTGCAATCGTATTGCTATGAAGCCACCATACTCTTACTTGATCTGTATGGATATTTATGCCTCATTATCTCGAATGTTCGGATATCTCGAAGTTACAACACGGCCCGACTAGGTGCGAGATAACGGGGTTCGAATGTACTCGAATGGATCACTGAAAATCGGTGATGACACTGAGTGTTCGCGAAAAGGGTAAGCATATCCTGCCACGCTCACAGTTTGCATGAAAAAACAAGTGTTTGTTTGTTGCCTAGCAACGCACGCCAGTACACCTGTCGTACGATGGCGGCCTGCAGACAACCGAGTTTGACCCGACAATCCAGTGACACGATATCGCGTTTTAAAAACTAAATATTGACAGGCCATTACATTTAAAATTTAAAACAAAAGACAATTTAGGTTACAAATAAAATCACACAAAACAACTAAATGTTACAATAATGATAATACCTGTCAGACATATCGTCAGCAGCAGTACCAGCCAGAGGTTCCCCATTGCCCTGTTGTCACAGTTGTTACACTTGACGCAGCTCACGGGTCATACGAAGTGTATGTCCTACACAATGACACTATATGTACATCTCCGTTATCCGACATAACGCATCACCAGTTCCTGTTTACATGCTGTAGTCGCTACTCAACGCCCGACGACCGGAAGCTTGCTCTTGAATCTTGAATGGACGCATGTCGTTATATGGAAATTAGAAACGTTTTGCAATGTATTGCGTACAATTGTTGACTGTGTTGTACATTAATAATATCATTTCTCTGTTTGACAATTATTACGTGTCGACAAAATAGGAGTGGTTCAATGTCATGCAGTACGTACTTGTCTATGAAGACATCTATTCTCTGAAATGAAAGTATGTTACAGAGAAAACAGTTGTTAATTTATGTTAATAATACATATTAATATAAATGAACTCCCAAACTCTTCATTTTCTGAAACCAAAACTGCAGTAACATAGACTTGCCAACTACAGTAAACCTCGGTTATAACGAACTCAAAGGGACTTCTAATTTTAGTTCGTTATAACCGTAGTTCGTTATAAGCATATGTACAGCATAACTACAGCAACTAGTCGGGACGAAAAAGTAAGTTCGTTATATCCGTCAGTTCGTTATAAGCGAGTTCGTTATAACCGTGACTGTGTTATAAATGTGCATGGAATATATTGGGTATATTTGCTTCAGGGTCTGTTTGACTGACTAATGTTTATGATATATTCGGAGTCGTACAGTGGGCTCTGCTTTTAGCATATATTTTATAATAAGGAAATGGTTTTGTTGTTTTTATTTAGTGCATATGAACAGCAGCAGGCTATTGTCAGATGAGGAAATGCGGTTTCAAGCCTTCAGCTTTAATCAGAGCAATAACTGAAGGATAAAACCTTTGATTGACCAATTAAGTCAGACATAGTTTGGTTTACGGATTTGTGGCTGGAACATTCAGGTTGGTAGATCTACAAATAAAATATTAAATAATTCCAATATCGATACGTTTTTGATTTCCTCATACCTGGTATGGTTTTACCCCGATTTGAGGAATATTTCAGCAATACCACGGCGGGAGAAATGGGCTTTAGACATTGTACCCATGTCGGGAATCGACCCGGGTCTTCGGCTTGATGAAGCGAACACTTTAACCACTCGGTTACTCCACAGCCCCTAAGTAAATAGGAAAAAGGTTGGGCGGGATTTTTAAGACAAGTTTTCAACAGGGTTTATTTGTAGTATTATAAATAATTTATATAAAACATGTTGCTATTCTTACAGCACTTGAAGGCGTACATGTATTTTACAAACAGGATAAGTGGCATTTGTGATTCCTTGACAGCAGAAGTGACAAGTATAGGGAAGTAGTTTTTGTCTTTAAACGATCTTGTATGTTTCAAACTACTTGCACAGTCCTTGCAATTTCAATAAAACCATAACAAACAAACATCAGAAGAAAGAAAGTCAGATAAATACTAACTAGTGTAATAATATTGGAAGTCACTGTGTTGTTCACGAAAACAGATGACGTATTCTCTTTTCTCACCCTATTATTGCACGTACACATATACAGATGACGTATTCTCTTTTGTCACTCTATTATTGCACGTACACATATACAGATGACGTATTCTCTTTTTTCACCCTATTATTGCACGTACACATATTCAGATGACGTATTCTCTTTTCTCACCCTATTATTGCACGTACACATATACAGATGACGTATTCTTTTTTTTCACCCTATTATTGCACGTACACATATACAGATGACGTATTCTCTTTTCTCACCCTATTATTGCACGTACACATATACAGATGACGTATTCTCTTTTCTCAACCTATTATTGCACGTACACATATACAGATGACGTATTCTCTTTTGACACCCTATTATTGCACGTACACATATACAGATTACGTATTCTCTTTTGTCACTCTATTATTACACGTACACATATACAGATGACGTATTCTCTTTTCTCACCCTATTATTGCACGTACACATATACAGATGACGTATTCTCTTTTGTCACCCTATTATTGCACGTACACATATACAGATGACGTATTCTCTTTTGTCACTCTATTATTACACGTACACATATACAGATGACGTATTCTCTTTTCTCACCCTATTATTGCACGTACACATATACAGATGACGTATTCTCTTTTGTCACTCTATTATTGCACGTACACATATACAGATGACGTATTCTCTTTTCTCACTCTATTATTGCACGTACACATATACAGATTACGTATTCTCTTTTCTCACCCTATTATTGCACGAACACATATACAGATGACGTATTCTCTTTTGTCATCCTATTATTGCACGTACACATATACAGATGACGTATTCTCTTTTGTCACTCTATTATTGCACGTACACATATACAGATGACGTATTCTCTTTTCTCACCCTATTATTGCACGTACACATATACAGATGTCGTATTCTCTTTTGTCACTCTATTATTGCACGGAGACATATACAGATGACGTATTCTCTTTTGTCATCCTATTATTGCACGTACACATATACAGATGACGTATTCTCTTTTGTCACCCTATAATTGCACGTACACATATACAGATGACGTATTCTCTATTGTCACTCTATTATTGCACGTACACATAAACAGATGACGTATTCTCTTTTGTCACTCCATTATTGCACGGACACATATACAGATGACGTATTCTCTTTTGTCACTCTATTATTGCACGGACACATATACAGATGACGTATTCTCTTTTCTCACCCTATTATTGCACGTACACATATACAGACGACGTATTCTCTTTTGTCACTCTATTATTGCACGTACACATATACAGATGACGTATTCTCTTTTGTCACCCTATTATTGCACGTACACATATACAGACGACGTATTCTCTTTTGTCACTCTATTATTGCACGTACACATATACAGATGACGTATTCTCTTTTGTCTCCCTATTATTACACATACACATATACAGATGACGTATTCTCTTTTGTAACTCTATTATTACACATACACATATACAGATGACGTATTCTCTTTTGTCTTTCAACAGACGATCAAGATACAGTATCCCCAAGTCAAATGCACCATTTGTGGGATTCGATTAGGACATTTGGATTGAAAACTTTATCCAATATCGGTTTAAAAAAACACTGCACATACAGTACAGACAGATGTGCAATCTTTGAGTGGATTGTATCACCACTTTCTTTGTTTCTTTATTTTGTAAGTGGGTTGTTTAACGCCACACTAATAGAATCTTGACCAGACAAACCAGTGATATTATTATCGACCAAGTCACTGAACCTGACAGCCACATCTATTTAAACGCTCTATACGACAAACGTAGGTTTGTTTCTTTGCTTTCTAACGCCGCAATGAGCAATATTCCAGATATATGTCGACTGTCTGTAAATAATCGAATCTGGACCAGACAATCCTGTGATTGACATCATGAGCATCGATCCACAGAATTTGGATACGATGACATGCATGAACCAAGTTAACGAGGCTGACCATCCGATCCCGTTAGTCAGCTTGATGTGGGAGGAAAACCTGAGGTGATGCAGGTCTTAGAGTTTTACCACTTTGATGAAACCCACCAGCACGGGTAGGATGCTGACACAGGTAAGGAACGTAACTCTGGCAAGCTTAAGGGACTGCCTCACGTTCTCCCTGCTTCGTTCAAAATCAAGGTGGACAATTCAAGCAACTAAAACATTTTGGTATTTTATTTACACAGACAAGAACATTTACAACGTACGTGTATATACAAACAAAACTTTCAAGCATTACAATTTACAAAGAGACAGAGACGTAGTATTACGATTAGTTGTGTTTACAGGCTTAATGACAGCCCACGGACTAGACTAACATTTAGTCTCTGAAATCTTATATTACACAATATCCTTCTTGACTCTAAAAATAAAAAAATTCCCTATGCTGATTAGAGCTAGCTTGAACTGGCTAGACTTGCTTTTGTATGCATTTCTAGATTATTATTTTTTCAAAAAATAAATATATTCCACGGTCATGGTGCAGGACTACCGACGGACCTACAGGTCCACATATCAACCCTTGCGTTTGAAAAAAACAAACACCCGTCGGCGTACACAGCATTAACAACATCCACCGCGTGGTGTCGGATCAGTGAGAGAGACTCAGCAATACTTTATCACAGCTTTGTATTTGCAGAAACCTGTTCAGATCCTGTCATCGCATGAGAACGAGAGGTGCTGGGACATTTTTAATCAGATATTATTTGATCGTTTGTTGTTTAACGTCGCACTCAGCAATATTCTAGCTATATGACGGCGATCTGTAAATAATCGAGTCTGGACCAGACAATCCAGTGATTGATAACATGAGCATCGATCCACGCAATTGGGATACGATGACATGCATCAACAAGTGAGCCTGACCACCCGATTCCGTTAGTCGCCTCTTACGATAAGCATGGTCTCTGAAGACCTGTTTTGCCCCGGATCTTCACAGGTCTTAACATATATTAAGCCACATATTCCATACCACTTTTGTTTAACCTGTATTGTATTAGTTCTTTATCAGAACTTTATCAGAATATCTTTGAAGTACATCTCGTCTGGCGGCGGTTTGTAGTATACCTATGGCAGCCATATTGAATGTCTTAAGAAAATTGTTAAGGACTTAAGTGAGCACTAAGAAGCTATGTGAATATGACTTTAGAAATTACGTAAAATATAAGTTGGTTGTTAGGGAAACTAAGATTTCTTTGTGGATTTAAGAATTCTTAAGGTTAAAGAAATTCTAAGAAGCTATGCGAATACCGCTCCTGGAAGTGATCGCGTCTGGACCAGACGAGCCAGTGACTGGACACAGAAGGAGCGATCCACGCCAGTGGGGTAAGATGACACACAATAATCTTGTCACAAAGCTGATCTCCATCTTCAGTATGTTTTACGCGGGATGAGGTGCTGAGGAAACATTCAGAATCCCCAGGGGGACTTTCTCCATCACAGGTACACCGGAAACCGCTGACACGTTCTGGGTCTCTTTTCACGCTTCTCTCATGTGGGTGTCTTAGTTTGAAGGGAGTGTTCTGTAGAATAGAAATAAATACATATGAGGTGAGTGAGGTGAAGCGGGATTTAACGTCGCGTTCAAGATTACTGCACTTATATTGAAGATAATGTAGACACCCCTTAAACGGACCGTGTGAGTGTCAGTTGTCAAGAGAATCTCATCAGGATGGTGACAGTGCAACACATCTGGCAAAAACGCTCATTTAACCCCTACAGAGCTGGAACATCAGCATGTCTGGTGGTTGGTTGTTTTTTTTGTTTAACGCCGCACTCAGCATTATTCCAGCTATATGACGGCGGTCTGTAAATAATCGAGTCTGGACCAGACAATCCAGTGATTGACATCATGAGCATCGATCTACGCAATTGGGACCGATGACATGCATCAACCAAGTCAGCGAGCCTGACCACCCGATCCCGTTAGTCGCCTTTTACGACAAACATAGTCGCCTTTTACGGCAAGCATGGGTTGCTGAAGACCTATTCTACCCCGGAATCTTCACGGATTGCCTGATGGTTGAAGGATTATCTAATATATAAAACTTTATGCATAGTGTTGAACTTTGAACTTGATCAAGGCATATTTATTTTTTTTTTTTGTCAAAACGTGAATCGTTGTAGCTGCTACATTTTAAATGTTTCAGAACATTTATCTCCCGATATAGGGTATGTCGAATTATTGCCAAACCCCGATCACAAATGCAGCTCAAATTTCTACAATAAACTATTTTGAACTATAAAGCGACGTGCATGTACATGTATATGTGTGTATGACTGCTTGCACTAGTTCGGACTAACGCCGGTTTTATAGAGCTTGGTGAAGGCCTTCAAACTTTCTTGGCGTTCCGTTTTGTACAACAGTTTTGACACTGCTTATCTGGAGGCGTTTTATATCGCCTGGATTATAGATCCAGTATAGACTCCGTATGGTCGTTAACATACCTAATGATGTCGTTTTAGCCGTCTATAACAAACGAAAATGACCATTCCTGTGACGACCAGTCCCAAGCCAACGCCAACAATCACCCCGGCGATCAGCGGCGTATTGCTGTAGAGTGAGAAAATACAAAATGTAGATATATGACGGCGGTCTGTTAATAATAGAATTTGGACCAGACAATCCAGTGATTGATGTCATGAGCATCGATCTACGCAATTTGGATACGATGAGATGCATCAACCAAGTCAGAGAGCCTGACCACCCGATCCCGTTAGTCGCCTCTTACGACAAGCATAGTCGCCTTTTACGGCAAGCATGCGTTGCTGAAGACCTATTCTACCCCGGAATCTTCACCGGCCCCATTGAACGCATATGAATAATCGACCAGCTTGGTACTTAGAAACAAATAATTTCATTGCAAATATGCAATGTGGTTTCCGTAAGAACAGAAGTACTATCGATCATTCAGTATGTTTAGAATCATGTGTAAAAATGCCATACAACATACAGTGTATATCTTTTTCGATCTCGAAAAAACATAGTGGTTCACGCGCTCGCTCGTTATACCGAAAACCCGGGTTCTCATGCTGTGGCACTTATGATATTAACACAGGGTCGAGTGGGATTTTACATGGAGACTACATTATTTTCATGCTGTGGCACTTATGACATTAAGACAGGGTCGAGTGGGATTTTACATGGAGACTACATTATGTTCATGCTGTGGCACTTATGACATTAAGACAGGGTCGAGTGGGATTTTACATGGAGACTACATTATTTTCATGCTGTGGCACTTATGACATTAAGACAGGGTCGAGTGGGATTTTACATGGAGACTACATTATTTTCATGCTGTGGCACTTATGACATTAAGACAGGGTCGAGAGGGATTTTACATGGAGACTACATTATTTTCATGCTGTGGCACTTATGACATTAAGACAGGGTCGAGTGGGATTTTACATGGAGACTACATTATTTTCATGCTGTGGCACTTATGACATTAAGACAGGGTCGAGTGGGATTTTACATGGAGACTACATTATTTTCATGCTGTGGCACTTATGACATTAAGACAGGGTCGAGTGGGATTTTACATGGAGACTACATTATTTTCATGCTGTGGCACTTATGACATTAAGACAGGGTCGAGTGGGATTTTACATGGAGACTACATTATTTTCATGCTGTGGCACTTATGACATTAAGACAGGGTCGAGTGGGATTTTACATGGAGACTACATTATTTTCATGCTGTGGCACTTATGACATTAAGACAGGGTCGAGTGGGATTTTACATGGAGACTACATTATTTTCATGCTGTGGCACTTATGACATTAAGACAGGGTCGAGTGGGATTTTACATGGAGACTACATTATTTTCATGCTGTGGCACTTATGACATTAAGACAGGGTCGAGTGGGATTTTACATGGAGACTACATTATTTTCATGCTGTGGCACTTATGACATTAAGACAGGGTCGAGTGGGATTTTACATGGAGACTACATTATTTTCATGCTGTGGCACTTATGACATTAAGACAGGGTCGAGTGGGATTTTACATGGAGACTACATTATTTTCATGCTGTGGCACTTATGACATTAACACAGGGTCGAGTGGGATTTTACATGGAGACTACATTATTTTCATGCTGTGGCACTTATGACATTAAGACAGGGTCGAGTGGGATTTTACATGGAGACTACATTATGTTCATGCTGTGGCACTTATGACATTAACACAGGGTCGAGTGGGATTTTACATGGAGACTACATTATTTTCATGCTGTGGCACTTATGACATTAACACAGGGTCGAGTGGGATTTTACATGGAGACTACATTATTTTCATGCTGTGGCACTTATGACATTAAGACAGGGTCGAGTGGGATTTTACATGGAGACTACATTATTTTCATGCTGTGGCACTTATGACATTAAGACAGGGTCGAGTGGGATTTTACATGGAGACTACATTATTTTCATGCTGTGGCACTTATGACATTAAGACAGGGTCGAGTGGGATTTTACATGGAGACTACATTATTTTCATGCTGTGGCACTTATGACATTAAGACAGGGTCGAGTGGGATTTTACATGGAGACTACATTATTTTCATGCTGTGGCACTTATGACATTAAGACAGGGTCGAGTGGGATTTTACATGGAGACTACATTATTTTCATGCTGTGGCACTTATGACATTAAGACAGGGTCGAGTGGGATTTTACATGGAGACTACATTATTTTCATGCTGTGGCACTTATGACATTAAGACAGGGTCGAGTGGGATTTTACATGGAGACTACATTATTTTCATGCTGTGGCACTTATGACATTAAGACAGGGTCGAGTGGGATTTTACATGGAGACTACATTATGTTCATGCTGTGGCACTTATGACATTAACACAGGGTCGAGTGGGATTTTACATGGAGACTACATTATTTTCATGCTGTGGCACTTATGACATTAACACAGGGTCGAGTGGGATTTTACATGGAGACTACATTATTTTCATGCTGTGGCACTTATGACATTAAGACAGGGTCGTGTGGGACTTTACATTATTTTCGGCTACATCTGCAAACTCGATATGTTTTTCATTAAAACTATGAGCCTTAATATTCCTTTGAAAAAAACCCTTTTGTAACGATGCATGTTTTGTGGCGGACAATTACATGTTGTTTTTTTCTAACAAGGTAAACCTTTCTGAATGATTTTGTGGTTCCATTGTGAAGCATACTATCCTTTAAAGGCAAGATTTGTGTGTACCAGGGACATACTTGATGAAAGGACAGAGGTAACAAAGAAGAAATAGCTATGGCAGTTATGACATTAACACAAAACACTGTCATAATTAATATTATGAATTTGCCCTTGTCGTACAGTAAATGCGAACAAATGTTGTTTTTTCTGAACCGTATATTAATACCCCTGACCACCTTACATTAGGTTTGTTTGTTTGTTGTTTAACGCCGCACTCAGCAATGTTCTAGCTATATGACGGCGGTCTATACATAATCGAATCTGGACCAGACAATCCAGTGATTGATAACATGAGCATCGATCCACGCAATTGGGAAACGATGACATGCATCAACCAAGTCAGCGAGCCTCCCGTTAGTCGTCTCTTACGACAAGCATGGGTAGCTGAAGACCAGTTCGAACCCGGAATCTACACGGGGCCCTTTCATTAAGGGGTCGATGGGGTAGCCTAGTGGTTAAAGCGATCGCTCGATATACCGAAAACCCGGGTTCTCATGCTGTGGCACTTATGACATTAACACAGGGCATTGATATCAATATTATTACAATTTTGCGTAAGAATAAGTGGATATGACACCCGAGTGTAGAGTGTAAAACATGTCTATCTGTACACAAACGTGTCCACCAGAATGAGGTGAGGTGAGGTGAAATGGGTTTTAACGTCGCGACCAAGGTTATTGCACTTATATAGCGACGTGCATGTACGTGTGTTTGTGTGGCTGCTTGTACTAGTCCGGATACCGATTTATAGTGCTAGCTCACTGAGATACCATGCCGCAGTTTAACATGAATACCCCATTTAGACACAGTATACTGACTCCGAGCCGACCAGTCCTTGTTTTAGCCCCTAAATGCCTAACGCCAAACAGGGTAACAACAAGTACAAACTTTTAACGTCTTTTGGTATGACGCGGTCGGGGATCGAACCCGGGACCTTCCGCTTTCCGGGCAGACGCTCTACCACTAGACCACGGAGGCGGTCGCCACCAGAATGATTTTACTAAAGCTACTCACTCAACTTCCCCATTCCTACAGCATCGTTGGGATCTGCCCAGCCCACAGCAGTATTCAGTTGTCTCATTGCAGACTATGCCTATCCGACAGAATCCATGCGCCACTTCTGAAAGAGAGAACACAGTAAGATGTGAGAGTAATATCATTGCCATTAAGTCAGTTAACGTGTAACGTCACATTTGAGTCTGGCAAGTGGCGCAGGTGAAGGTCATTGGTTCACATGTATTCAGCATTCCATCATGTTACAAGCCAATCAGTTTGCTGGTGCGTCTGCAGCAACCCCTGACAACGACCTTGACCTTAAGCATTTGCTGTGCTGGGATTGTTCCAGCAAATGCTTGAAAAACAATATTAAGCTCCAGATTTCTGGAAATATAAAAATAAGAACTTTTCTTGCACAAAAATACACTGTTGCACGGTGAATTAAGTTTTGTTTAGTAAGGCGCATAGGTCTGGTAACTATATATAACTATATGGTTTTCCAATTTGACATACACACATACATTCACGCACTCATACATATGCAAACACACACACACACACACACACACACACACACACACACACACACACACACACACACACACACACACACACACTCTCTGAGATAACCGAGTGTGCAGGCAATTACATTTAAAATGTATAACAAAAGACAATGTAAATGACAAATATAATCGCACAAAACAACTAAATGTAACAACAATTCAGTGATTGACATTATGAGCATCGATCCACGCAATTGGGATACGATGACATGCATCAACTAAGTCAGCGAGCCTGACCACCCGATCCCGTTATTCGCCTCTTATGACAAACATGGGTTGCTGAAGACCTATTCTAACCCGGAATCTTCACGAGGGTGTTTGTAACAAAACAACTAAATGTAACAATAATGATAATACCTGTCAGACATATCGTCAGCAGCAGTACCAGCCAGAGGTTCCCCATTGCCCTGTTGTCTCAGTTGTTACACTTGACGCAGCTCACAGGCCATATGTAGTGTATGTACTACGCAATGCCCCACCTGCTGGTGTATCGCCGTATACGTAGTCCGTGTGATGTAACAGCGTCGCTAGTTCCTGTTTACATGCTGTAGTCGCTACTCATCGCCCGATCACCGGAAGCGGAATATTGAATACCTCTTCAGATGGACGTATGTTGACATCAGAGTAATGTTATTAAATGGAAATTAGAAACGATTTACAATGTACCGCGTGTCATCATTTCCAAATTGTTCACCTTGTTGTGCAGCAATGGTAGTTGTCACTTGACAATTTCTACGTGAACGACAACGGAATCGACAAAATAGGAGGTGTTTCAATGTCATGTCGTACATACTTGTGATATAAACAGCCAGGCAAAAAAATGCGGACACTTGAAAACTGGATTTGCAGAAAGAAATGACAAACGTTTAAAGGCTGAAAACATTCGCCGAAACACTGCAAACTGTATCGTACGAAAGCCCATAAGGACCATATTAGTAATTTTTTTTCTCTCTTTTAATAGTCGTAATTACGAGAAAAAAGTCGTAATTACGACATTTCAATGCTCGTAATAAGGAGAAGAAATGTTGTAATTGCGACTTCTCAAAACGTGTAATTACGGAAAAAAAAGTTTATAATAAGATTCTATTGATTGCTTTATCATTATATCACGGTGATTTTCATCATCATTGTAAAGGTCGTAATTACGACTTTTTTCTCATAATTAAGACTTTATTCTCGTAATAACGAGTTTTGAAAAGTCGTAATTACGCCTTTTAAGAGAGAAAAACCAAAAAACAATATGGTCCTAATGGGCTTTCGTAACATCGCCATCGAACAACTATTTCTGTTTATCTTACTATAGCCACCGTCAAACACAGGTGTATACTTTCTTTTGCCCGGCAGTTCAGTCGGAATTGTACAGTGGAATCTGCTTTTAGCATGTATGTTTTATGGTCATGGTAAGGGTTGTGTTGTGTTTTATTTAGCACAAATCCACATCCACAGCAGCAGGCTATTATATGTCAGATAAGGAAATGCGACATTCAAGCTGTCTAAATCAGAGGAGTGAGTGAGTGAGTATGGTTTAACGTCGCTTTTAGCAATATTCCAGAAATATCACGGCGGTGGACATTAGAAATAGGGCTTTCACACATTGCACCCAAGTCGGGAATCGAACCCGGGTCTTCGGCGTGACGAGCGAACGCTTTAACCACAAGGCTTAATCAGAGGAAGAGATGAGGGATAAAACCTTTGATTGATCCGTGAGGCCCGGCTCTCTTGTTTTGGTATACGAATCTTTGACAACAACATTCAGATTTGTTCCAATTGAAAATTTGTTTTTTGATTTCCTCAAAATGTTAAGCATTGGAAAATATTGGTAAATAAAAAAGTGGAGGCGAGAGGAATAGAAAAATAAAGTTTTGAGGTACCACCCTCCCCTTAATTATAATTATATTTTGAATAAAATATTTTTGTATTGACAGCAAGAAACACGTGCACGTCCCATGCATAAAATACCTTTGTCCGAAAACGGCCACAGCGTGGACAGTTTCTGGACAAATGGGTTTCCAGATTTAAAATGGGACGCGTTAAAAGTAAATGAGTAGTTTGTTTAATATTTACTTATTTCTGGTCTACTCTTCCGTGTTTTATACATTTCAATTTATTGGAGTCGGAGGATTCGTAAACAAAGTTTTAAAAAAATCTGGCCTTATTGAGAATCGATCAGTGCAATTGGGACCGCGAAGGAGTACTCTTCATTGACATTTGATATAACAGATTTGTTACAACCCATGCTTGTCGTAAGAGGCGACTAAGAGGATCGGGTGGTCAGACTCGCTTAGTGGGTTGATGCATGTCATCGTATCTAAGTCGAAACGATGGCGTCTTCCTGTTTATCAGTGATTCGTGTTCGAGTGAGCGAGTTGGGTTTAACGAGGCTTGGAACCGTATGTCAGTTATGCAGCGGCATGTCAGTTTGAGTGAGTGAGTGAGTGAGTATGGTTGTACGCCGCTTTTAGCAATATTCCAGCAATATCACGGCGGGGGACACCAGAAATGGGCTTCACACATTGTATCCATGTCGGGAATCGAACCCGGGTTTTGGGCGTGACGAGCGAACGCTTTAACCACTAGGCTACCCGACCGCTCCGTCAGTTTGATGTGGAGGGATAATCTGAACTGAAGTAGGTTTTAGACGTTTACCACTTTGGTAAAGCCAACGAGAACGGGTATGGTGCTGACGCATCCTAGGAACAAACGTCTGGCAGACCTTGGAGACGGAACTCTACAACGAATTGCAGCGTCTCAGACGACTGTGTCACACGTTCGCTCCGATTCGTTTTAAACAAAGAATCGGCACAGAAACAAACCAAAAATTATATATATTTTATTTACACAAACGAATATATTTACGTGTATATACAAATAAACATTCACGTATGTACAACGTATATAAAATAACTTATTATTGACATGACAGGCTATTGACGGTCGACAAAGTGACTGAATGATTATTGATTCACGCCGCTTTCAGCAATGTTTCAGCAATATCACGGCGGGGGACAACAGAAAAGTGCTACACATTGTACCCATGTGGGGAATCGAACCCGAGCGAAAGCTTTAACCATTAGGCTACCCAACCGCCCCTGTAAAGTTCATCATATGAGCCAGAGTTACAAAATCACCCGTCATCTTAAACAAACAACAAAAACAACATCTACCACGTGGTGTCAGTATCAGGGAGAGGGTGAGTGTTGTTTTACGCCACAATCAGCAACAGTCCAACGTTACCATAGCGTTCTGTAATAATCGCGTCTTGGCCAGACGAACCAGTGTCTGGACACAGAAGGAGCGATCCACGCCAGCGGGGTAAGATGACACACAATAATCTTGTCACAGAGCTGATCTCCATCTTCAGTAAGTTTTACGCGGGATGAGGTGCCGGGGAAACATTCAGAACCCCCACGGGGAGTTTCTCCATCACGGATACACCGAAACCCGCTGTCACGTTCTGGGTCTCTTCTCACGCTTCTCTCGCTTGTGTTCCTCGTTCTTGTGAAGGGAGTGTTCTGTAGAATAGAAATATGTACACTAGAGGTGATGTGACACGGGATTTAACGTCGCGTTCAAGATAACTGCACTTATATTGAGGATATGTAGAAATCCCTAAAATGGACCCTGAAAGTGTCAGTTGTCAAGATGGTGACAGTGCTAAACATCTGGCAAAAACGCCCAATTAACCCTACAGAGCTAGAACATCAGGATGTTGATGGTTCAAGGACTGTAAGTCTTTTTAACCTGATGATATCTGAACTAAATATGCCTTGATCAAGTTCAAAGTTCAACACTATGCATAATGTTTTATACATTGGCCAGAATTTGGCCACATTAATCCATCATTAGCTTCCTTGACGTTCCGCTTTCTACGACAGTTTAGACACTGCTAATGAGGAGGCTTTTAGTATCGCCTGGATTAAAGGTCCAGTATAGAGTCACTCCGTATGGTCGTTAACATACCTAATTACGTCGTTTCCACAGTTTACAACAACCGTAAACGGCGAGCACTATGAGTATCACTCCGAAGATTATGCCAACACACAGCCCGGTGATCATCGCCGACCTACTGTAGGGGGAGAAAATACATTAGTACATTTGCGTGGATAGATGCTCATGATATTAGTCACTGGATTGTCTGGTCCAGACTCGATTATGTACACAGACCGCCGTCATATAGCTGGAATATTGCTGCGTGCGGCGTTAGACAAAAAAAACCCCAAAACCAAAAAAAACCATATAATAAATAGGTTTTGTAGTACAAAAATATTCAGTTAGCCCCTGCTTTGTATTTCATATTTCAGTGGCAGTGTAATTTGTTTGTTGTTTTTGTTTGTTGTTAAACACCGCACTCGTGAATAATCTCATAACGGCGGCTGGGATTATGTGTGGAGACTATATATTTTTTCGGCTATATCTGCACAGAATTTATTTTTTATTAAAGTTATGAGCCTAAATATTTTTTTGAAATAAAAGCATCTTGCAACAATGTATTGTTTGTGGCAAACAGATTGAAGTATATTCATTTTTTAAGTTTTTTTCTGGAACGATTAATTTTTTTCAATGAAATCCCACTCACACCTTCAAATAAGGTGACGTTGTGAATATGAGTATGTGGATGTCTGCACACGAGTTAGACAAGGTGTCAACTACTCACTCCAGTTCTCCACTCCTGCAGCATCGTCTGTGTTTGCCTAGCCCACAGCAGTACTCAAACTCTTTGCAGTCTGTGGGGACGATGCCTCCCCGGAAGTAACAGAATCCATGCACTTCTTCTGAAAGAGAAAACACAGTAAGATGTGAAATTAATATCATTGTCATCAAGTCTGATAACGTGTAACGTCGCATTTAAGTCTGTCAATGGCGCAGGTGAAGGTCATTGGTAAATGTGAGAGTAATATCATTGCCATCATAACATGTAACGTCACATTTGTGTCAGGCAATGGCGCAGGTGAAGGTCATTGGTACATTGGTAAATGTGAGAGTAATATCATTGCCATCATAACGTGTAACATCACATTTGAGTCGGACAATGGCGGAGGTGAAGGTCATTTCTACACACGGACATACGTATACTCAGCACATATTACAAGCCAATCAGACACATCAAGATGCGTCTGTAGCAACCGCCGACAACGATCTTGATTTGCAGCATTCAGGCAGTGAAATCAACAAAAGGGGAAAATAAATTACTCATGATAATGATTTAAAAACAAAATTATGCTTCACACTGTTGACAACATAGAAATTGTCTTGAACGAAAAATACACGGTTGCAGTTTCACACACCATACACACAAACACACATCACACACACACACGCACGCACGGGCGCACACACAATTTTTGTTTTACGCCGCACTCAGCAATATTCCAGCTATATGACGGCGGTCTGTAAAAAATCGAGTCTAGACCAGACAATCCAATGATTGACATTATGAGCATCGATCCACGCAATTGGGATACGATGACATGCATCAACTAAGTCAGCGAGCCTGACCAACCGATCCCGTTATTCGCCTCTTACGACAAGCATGGGTTGCTGAAGACCTATTCTAACCCGGAATCATCACGGGGGTGTTTGTAACAAAACAACTAAATGTAACAATAATGATAATACCTGTCAGACATATCGTCAGAAACAGTACCAGCCAGAGGTTCCCCATTTCCCTGTAGTCCCAGTTGTTACATTTGACGCAGCTCACAGGCCATATGTAGTGTATCTACTACGCAATGCCCCACCTGCAGGTGTATCTCCGTATACGTAGTCCATGTGATGTAACAGCGTCGCTAGTTCCTGTTTACATGCTGCAGTCGCTACTCATCGCCCGACCACCGGAAGCTGACCTTTAAACCGCCTTGCAGATGCACCTATGTTGAAATCGAATTTAAACACGTTTGAGGTGAGGTGAGGTGAGGTGAGGTGAGGTGAGGTGAGGTGAGGTGAGGTGAGGTGAGGTGAGGTGAGGTGGTTTTAACGTCGCGTCCGGGATTATTGCACTTACATAGCGTTTGTACTAGTCCGAGCTGATGACGATTTTTAATAGTGCTAGCCCACTGAGATACCATGCCGCATTTTAACATGATTACGCCACTCAGACACAGTATACTGACTCCGAGCCGACTAGTCCTTGCTTTAGCCCCTTAATGCCGAGTGCCAGATAGGGTAGGAACAAGTACCATCTTTTGGTATGACGCGGCCTTCCGCTCTCCGGTCTAAACACGTTAAAACATTTTTCGAATTTAAACATGCTTAAGTTTGAAACATTCAGAATTTAAACATGTTCTGACATGTTTAGAATATAAACATGGTTCAATAAAGTGCATATCATTAGGAAGTAGTGTCAAATATGGATAAGATGTTATAATATATATTGACATTAGATGTGAAAATCAGATTAACAGGCACATGCATAACACATATACCACCAGGACTTACAACGAACTTGGTACAGTATTAAGAAGAATCTACAACTTAACCAAACTCGGTTAATGGTGTCGAGGAAATTTGACACTTGTAACGACAATAGTCTCCTTAGAACAGGTGGTAACATGAAGGAATACAAATGAAGAGCTTGCATGTTCGTATCCCATCGAGGTCTACATAGTCTATGCGTTCATTAATGTTTGGTTGCTGTATGACTAATGGCATTTCTCTCATACAGGGAGCTGACAATGTACGCATCCCTGATCACTACGATAAACCCTTTACGTTTTAGTAACCACCCACCCACCACCATCCTCCAAATTAATCCATTTATACTGCTAAAATGGCTTTTATCAGCCACCCCACCCCATTCACCTTATGTTTAGGATCTAATCACATTGTTTACAGTGTACAGATGACGTATTGTACATATTCATATTCATTTTCATATTCATTAATAGATGACGTATTCTCGTTTGGGACACGTATACAAGCGATGTTATTCTCTTTTGTCATTCTAAACTACACATGCATGTGTACAGATGACGTATTCTCATTTGTCATGCTGTTATTACACACACGTATGCACAGGAGCTATTCTCATTTGTCATCCTGTTACTACACATACACGTATGCAGAGTACGTATTCCCATTTGTCATCCTGTCATTACATACACACACGTATGCAGAGGATGTATTGTCATTTGTCATCCTATTATTACATACACACGTATGCAGAGGACGTATTCTCATTTGTCATCCTGTTATTACACACACACGTATGCAGAGGACGTATTCTCATTTGCCATCCTATTATTACATACACACGTATGCAGAGTACGTATTCCCATTTGTCATCCTGTCATTACATACACACACGTATGCAGAGCACGTATTGTCATTTGTCATCCTGTTATTACACACATACGTGTGCAGAGGACGTATTCTCATTTGTCATCCTGTTATTACACACAGACGTGTGCTGAGGACGTATTCCCATTTGTCATCCTGTTATGACCCACACACGTATGCAGAGGACGTATTCTCATTTGTCATCCTGTTATTACACACAGACGTGTGCTGAGGACGTATTCCTATTTGTCATCCTGTTATTACACACACACGTATGCCGAGGACGTATTCTCATTTGTCATCCTGTTATTACACACACACGTATGCAGAGGACGTATTCCCATTTGCCATCCTGTTATTACATACACACGTATGCAGAGTGCTTATTCTCATTTGTCATGCTGTTATTACATACATGTATGCAGAGTACGTATTCGCATTTGTCATGCTGTTATAACATACACACGTATGCAGAGGACGTATTCTTATTTGTCATGCTGTTATTACATAAACACGTATGCAGAGGACGTATTCTCATTTGTCATCCTGTTATAACACACACGTATGCAGAGAAACGTATTCTCATTTGTCATGCCGTTATTACACACACACACGTATGCACTGGACGTATTCTCATTTGTCATCCTGTTATAACATACACACGTATGCAGAGGACGTATTCTCATTTGTCATCCTGTCATTACATACACACACGTATGCAGAGGACGTATTCTCATTTGCCATCTTGTTATTACACACAGACGTGTGCTGAGTGCTTATTCCCATTTGTCATCCTGTTATTACACACACACGTATGCAGAGGACGTATTCTCATGTGTCATCCTGTTATTACACACACACGTATGCAGAGGACGTATTCCCATTTGCCATCCTGTTATTACATACACACGTATGCAGAGTACGTATTCTCATTTGTCATGCTGTTATTACATACATGTATGCAGAGTACGTATTCGCATTTATCATGCTGTTATAACATACACACGTATGCAAAGGACGTATTCTTATTTGTCATGCTGTTATTACATACACACGTATGCAGAGGATGTATTCTCATTTGTCGTCCTGTTATTACGCACACACGTATGCAGAGGACGTATTCTCATTTGTCATCCTGTTATTACACACACACACACACACACGTATGCAGAGGACGTATTCTCATTTGTCATCCGGTTATTACACATACGCGTATACAGATGATGTATTCTCATTTGTCATCCTGTTATTACACACACACGTATGCAGAGGACGTATTCTCATTTGTCATCCTGTTATTACACACACACACACACGTATGCAGAGGACGTATTCTCATTTGTCATCCTGTTATTACACATACGCGTATACAGATGATGTATTCTCATTTGTCATGCTGTTATTACACACACACGTATGCAGAGGACGTATTCCTATTTGCCATCCTGTAGTTACACATACGCGTATACAGATGATGTATTCTCATTTGTCATCCTGTTATTACACACACACGTATGCAGAGGACGTATTCTCATTTGTCATCCTGTTATTACACACACACGTATGCAGAGGACGTATTCCAATTTGTCATCTGGTTATTACACACACACATATTCAGAGGACGTATTCCTATTTGCCATCCTGTTATTACATAAACACGTATGCAGAGGACGTATTCCCATTTGCCATCCTGTTATTACACACACACGTATGAAGAGGACGTATTCTCATTTGTCATGCTGTTATTACACAAACACGTATTCAGAGGACGTATTCCCATTTGTCATCCTGTAGTTACACACACACGTATGCAGAGGACGTATTCTCATTTGTCATCTGGTTATTACACACACACATATTCAGAGGACGTATTCCTATTTGTCATCCTGTTATTACACATACATGTACACGTATACAGATGACGGATTCTCATTTGTCAAACGTGCATTGACCATCCACCTATTTAGACGACGTATTCTCACCATATTCATTGCATACACACATATGCAGATGACCGGAGACCACAAAATATATTTTATGGTCTCTGAGATGACGTAATCTTCTTTGCCACTCTATATTCTTTTTTATCATCCTGTTATTGCACATACGCGTCCACAGATGATGTATTCCCTTTTGTTAGCCTATTTATCACTCTATATGTATATTCCACTACACGCATTGGATGATGTATTGTCTTATGTCATCCTGTTATTACACTTACACGTATGCAGATGACGTATTCTCTTTTGTCACCCTATTATTGCACATACACATATACAGATGACGTATTCTCTTTTGTCACCCTATTATTACACATATACATATACAGATGACGTATTCTCTTTTGTCACCCTATTATTACACATACACATATACAGATGACGTATTCTCTTTTGTCACCCTATTATTGCACATACACATATACAGATGACGTATTCTCTTTTGTCACCCTATTATTGCACATACACATATACAGATGACGTATTCTCTTTTGTCACCCTATTATTACACATACACATATACAGATGACGTATTCTCTTTTGTCACCCTATTATTACACATACACGTATACAGATGACCTATTCTCTTTTGTCACCCTATAATTACACATACACGTATAAAAATGACGTATTCTCTTTTGACACCCTCCTATTGCACATACACGTATGCAGATGACGTATTCTCTTTTGTCAAAGGAGTATAATAGTCGCTCGCCTCGTCGCAATTCCGAGTTCGATTCCCACATTGCACCTATATAGGGAATCTCTTCTTGATGCTCCCGCTGTGATGTTGCGGGTATATTACCTACTCACTCACTCACTCTCTCGGCTTATATGAACCTTGATAATAACGTTAACTCTTCCTTTCTTTACTTATGAGGCTAATCCCCGTTTCTTTTGTTGTCACCATCCCCCTTCCTCGTAAATACCGCCTCCTCGGTCTAGTGGATGGAGCAGCGGTCAGGAGAGCAGAAGGACGGTATATAATTTCAAAGTAACGCACAGCCATAAGGCCATGATACACTATGTGTGTGTGTGTGTGTGTGTGTGTGTGTGTGTGTGTGTGTGTGTGTGTGTGTGTGTGTGTGTGTGTGTATATATATATATAGATATATTGTGTGTCCATATTTTTTGTTTATACACAAATGTACCGCGTGACACACGCACACACACACGCGCACGCACACACACACACACACACACACACACACACACACACACACACACACACACACACACACACACACACACACACACACACACACACACACACACACACACACACACACACACACACACACACACACACAATAAATCTTGAACACCTCACCTCACCTCATCTGTCCATCAAATAAATGGTGCTATTATATCATAATAAAATCATGTTTCATAGCCGGTTTATTTATTCGTGTAAACTTCATATATACAATATGCGCACTTCGATACTTGACATTGTGTAAAAATATAATATTTACAGCAGAACTTTTGAATGCATTAGGATGGTGTGTGTGGTTAAAATGATTTGGACGGACAAATACAGGATATACCCCTGATACAGTTGCATCTACCCGTGTACTTGTGGGTACGCCAGAGAGATGTTCACACAATCGATGGCGTCCTTTTACTCGGTTTGGGTTTGAGAAGGATGTAGTGAAGGGAGACAACTCCTGCAGGATAGAGCACCCGATACGCCAAGGCTGGGGTTCCAGAAGCAAACCTGACGAGTCAGATAAATTGAATTTCCTGTAGAAGCAGAGACTGGATATAATTTCTACACGTGTGAAGTTAATCATCATCGACCCATACATCATCGTCTCACTAAGCGCCCCATCAATCACGCGAGTTGACAGCGACTTGCCGAACAGATAGTTTGTTTATGTTAGTATGCAAATTAGCCATGACGTCACATGGCAACGTCGCTGATAACAATCTGTTGTCAGGTAAAATGAGGTCATTATCAGATACCCGCACTTTGCCCGACAATTTGCTGGCCATTTTATGATAATTCTACCCATTTTAGCTATAATGACTTTCATATCATACTCAACTATATTTTCGCTCGATAATATATCAAACTTGCCGACTTTTTAGCCCCGATTATATAGACTAATATGTCATATCAACTATTTCTAAGCACGAAAATATATCATAAGATTTGTTAGCCCCGGTAATATATCATACTATACCATGTGTTGCCCAGGGTATTAAGTGACACAGGGGGACTTGCGTCCGATTGTCGTGTCAGAATCTGTTGGGTTTCGAACCCCGGATCTGGCAACACCGCCCTGTCTCACTCGCTTTTTAGTCTAAGTATCTCTGAAGTCTCATATGAGATATCATAGAATGCGACCTCGGCAATGTCGAGCGGATGCATTTTATGAACAGGTGGGATAAGTTTTTCCTGTATATTCTCACAATCCTCACGTCGATTATCTGTACCTTATCTCCCAATACCTATATTGTCATGTCTCTCCCACTTTTGGATGCGATCGTTCTGCCACTTCATTTATCGGCGTACACCAGCTAAAGCTGTGGGGAAACCAGACACTCCCCTCTCAAAAATAATCCGATTACGACGTCATCGAGCTACGAGCGTATATGTTCGAATCTCCAGAAATGACGTCATGATAGAACAATGTTTCATCGTGAAATTAACCACGCTTCGTTCTTGTTATTTGCGATTTACAGCGTAGCTATCTTACATATTTCTTTTAAAGAGGCTGCAGTATACACCCACTTACTGTTTTTTTACTTCTTCATCTTGGGGTGCACATCTTCTTACACAGGTACACGACTCCCCCAAGAAGCAGCCCCCCAGCGATCACTCCAACAGTTATTCCTATCACGGATGGTATTGGGCTGTGAAGATACGTGATTTGAAATAGTTCAAATAGTTTAATTCGTTCTTAAAAAACTCATACTTGTTTTCAGTGCCACATACTGACCAGTCGTCTGAAACGTCTCATGAGTTCTACAGATATGCGTTCTTAAGACGTGCCTGGTACAGTGGTCGTGTTTTCGACTTCCTGATGCGACCCCTTTCAGGTGGGATTCACGGAAATACTGCAGTCAACTGAAGGAACTTTCAAACCTACCCACCAAATCACTTGTATTTCTGTTACTTTAGTTTATAATCTCAATCGAGTTTCTTTTGGTATCAAACATATCAACACAAGACGAGTGTTTAAAAGATCTTGACAGTGCTACAAATGTTAAACAGAATTGTGATTGAATAATATCTTATAGGTGTCAAAATCAAGGAGTTTACATAAACAGGGCGACGCTTTATGTTCAACAGTTGTACTGCCTATTCATTCATACTTAACACATAACCGACATGAATGTTAAAAATACACAGGTCCGGAAATGCATGTTTATCAAAACCAGGCGACGAATTAGACAGGGTGGTCGGTCAGACTTCGTTTGTTTGTTGTTTAACGCCGCACTCAGCAATATTCCAGCTAAATGACGGCGGTCTGTAAATAATCGAGTCTGGACCAGACAATCCAGTGATTGACATCATGAGCATCGATCCACGCAATGGGGATACGATGACATGCATCAACCAAGTCAGCGAGTCTGACACCCCGATCCCGTTAGTCGCCCTTACGTGATCAGAACGGCGAAGTAAGTGACTGTTGTTGATTGTTACCAAGATCGGTATAATAACAGCTCTATCAAGGTGGCTTAAATAATGGGATCAGACGAACCAGTGGTTAATATCATGAGCAACTATCCATTCTTGGGTACATCACATGGTCACCACCTGATCCCCAAATATTTCAATGGGGTCACCACACTTCCGGTTCATACATTTGAGTTACAAAATATACTGTACTTACTCAGGTTCTCCTTCCTTACAGCATTTTGCAGCTCTGCCACTCCCACAACAGTGCTCTCCCTTTACACAATCAACCGGTTCAAACCAATCCATGTAGCACCATCCTTTCACAATTTCTGAAATTCGGGATGCGGGTGTGAACATTTTGTAGAATGATGGCATGTTATTTGGGGAAGGTCAATTTGTCACATTTGAAATGACAGCTGACATATGGAGGTTAGACGAATTCAACTATGCTCGTTGTCGGCTGCTTATAATCATTCTGAGGGGGCACGGGTGGCCCAAACGTCTAAGGCGCCGCGATTCGTTGTGCAGAGTTGCGTCCCTTGGGCACGCCAGATAAATATGATTGTGGGTTCGAATCCCGGTTCGCCCCAATTATGTTTCTAGGTTTGTCAGCACCATACCCGTGCTCGTGGAATTCACCGAAGTGGTCAACGTCTGAAACCTGCATCACTTCGGGCTTTCCTCCCACATTAAGCTGACACGGCGCGATATGACTGGAATACTGTTAAAAGCGGCGTTAAACCTAACTCACTCACTCACTCACTATAACCATTCTGTATTCTGCAGTTTGTTTTACCAGAGCTGCAGAAATATATCCATATTATCAAATATGATAATTGCATTTTATATTTCCTACCAAAAACTTTAGGTCGAGTCATATAGGTGGACTGGAGTGCAGCGTCAAACATAAAACAAACAAACGTGATTCCGAATGGGCCCGGTCGGGTATGGATATTGTATTGTATTTTATTGTACTGTAATGCATTGTGTTATATTGTATTGTATTGTATCGTAATGTATCGTGTCCATCTTAATTATATTTATACCAAACTGTTTCCATTGAGTTTACAAGTGTCTCATAACCTCGGGGTAGTTTCTGTACATATGGCCATGTACTGTATTTTAAACCTGTTTTAGTTCCAAGAAGAATGTAATCGGCTCGATATGAATGTACAGAAAGTAAGACTTTAATAACTAACTCTCCCTCTCTCTCAAACAAGTCAAAACGAAAAAAACTGATGATTTTACAACCAATTCCCAATACATGCAACGTATCACATAATGACCCGTGACTATCATAAGCAGCTGATGTTAACAACTTGGGTATGACACATATCAAATGTTCAATCAAAATCCTGCTTACCATTTACAGTGAGTGAGCGAGTACGGATTTACGCCGCTTCAAGCAATATTCAGGCAATATCGCAGCGGGGGGCACCAGAAATGGGCTTCACACATTGTACCAATGTGGGGAATCGAACCGGGTCTTCGGCGTGACGAGCGAACGCTTTAACCACTAGGCTACCCCACCGCTCCTGATTTACAATAACTGTGACAATTTTCAAAATAACATAACAGCCTTGCTACGCTGACAAGCATTACTGTGTGTGTGAGTTGGGTTTAACGCCGCTTTTAACATTATTCCAGTTATATCACGGCGTGTCAGCTTAATGTGGGAGGAAAGCCCGAAGTGATGCAGGTTTCAGACGTTAACCACTTCGGTGAAACCCACGTGCACGGGTATGGTGCTGACATACCTAGATACATAATCGGGGCGAACCAGGTTCGAACCCACAATCTTAGGTTTCTGGCGTGCCCAAGGGACGCAACTCTGCACAGCGAGTCGCGGCGCCTTAGACTGGGCCACCCGTACCCCCGACAAGCATTACGAGTAATAACAAAATATAAATGATATATTATGATGTCATTAATATGAATATTGAAAATACCTGAACCGTATAAAATCAGTAGCAGTGACAGACAGTGGTGTTCCATAACTCTGTGCTTCCTGAAAGAAAGCTTGACTCGTCCACTATTTACATCGTTCGTAAATATAGAGGATTTCGCAATGAACACTGCGGTTCGGGTGCATCTCTTTGAAAACAGTTGCGTCGCCTGTAGTGGATTCTTGCCCTGTATATCTACATAGTTGCCAGTTTGGTATTGCAAGCCTGCTGTATTCCCTAGTATGTTCGATGTTGGCACGGTTCAAACAAGACACTGATTGTGTCACAACAAACACACTATGCGTGTACTGTTGTGACAGTTCTAAACGGGTGGCGATATGAGTGCACCTAGTGGTAGTTATTTGATCAAAGGGTAGATAATCCCGGTACAATCAATAACTACACTGCCCAGGTGAGCGTGACGATAATGTACGACTGCGTCTCATAGCGGGATAGCGAGTCACTGTGTGAGCACCACAGACATTGTTCACACCGTCTGAATATACATGCACAGTTTCCAACACACTATGAAGCAATATGATCTGGACTAATTTCGGTTTTTATAGCGCTAGCCCACTGAAATGCCATACCGCAGTTTAACATGAATACCCAACTCAGACACAGTTTACTGACTCCGAACATGTGTACAACTAACAGCGTGTTACACGTCGCGGTGGAGTATGTATGATTTTACGCCTCTTTTTGAATGTGCAAGCAGTGTCACGGCGGGGAACACCAAAAATGGGCCTCACATGTTGTGCTGCTTCGGACTTTGTCTTGTAGTGTGACTTATTTCTACTGACGCTCGTGTTCCCTGATACTCAACACACAACTGCCGAGGTCCCTTTTGAAAATATACCAAACACATGGTGAAAAATATAAACAAACAAATTTATTGCCATTACAAATTCAACAAGACAGCTCATTCATTCCTTATGAAACTGTGTCGTGGTGTCGGGGTAAATTCTACAGGTGAACTCGATACCGGGGTAAATTCTACAGGTGAACTCGATACCGGGGTAAATCCTACAGGTGAACTCGGTATCGGGGTAAATCCTACAGGTGAGCTGGATATCTGGTAAATTATGCATGTATGCTAGATATCGGGGTACATCCTACAGGTGAGATGGATATATGGTAAATTATGCATGTATGCTCGATATCGGGGTAAATCCTACAGGTGAGCTGGATATCAGTAAAATTATGCATGTATGCTCGATATCGGGGTAAATCCTACAGGTGAGCTGGATATCAGTAACAATATGCATGTATGCTCGATATCGGGGTCAATCCTACAGGTGAGCTGGATATCAGTAACAATATGCATGTATGCTCGATATCGGGGTCAATCCTACAGGTGAGATGGATATCAGTAAAATTATGCATGTATGCTCGATATCGGGGTCAATCCTACAGGTGAGCTAGATATCAGTAAAAATATGCATGTATGCTCGATATCGGGGTAAATCCTACAGCTGAGCTGGATGTCAGGTAAATTATGCATGTATGCTCGATATCGGGGTAAATCCTACAGCTGAGCTGGATATCAGTAAAAATTATGCATGTATGCTCGATATCGGAGTAAATCTTACAGCTGAGCTGGATATCAGTAAAATTATGCATGTATGCTCGATATCGGGGTAAATCCTACAGCTGAGCTGGATATCAGTAAAGTTATGCATGTATGCTCGATATCGGGGTAAATCCTACAGCTGAGATGGATATCAGTAAAATTATGCATGTATGCTCGATATCAGGGTAAATCCTACAGCTGAGCTGGATATCAGTAAAATTATGCATGTATGCTCGATATCGGGGTCAATCCTACAGCTGAGCTGGATTTCAGTAAAAGTATGCATGTATGCTCGATATCGGAGTAAATCCTACAGGTAAGATGGATATCAGGCAAATTATGCATGTATGCTCGATATCGGGGTAAATCCTACAGCTGAGCTGGATATCAGTAAATTTATGCATGTATGCTCGATATCAGGGTAAATCCTACAGGTAAGATGGATATCAGGTAAATTATGCATGTATGCTCGATATGGGGGTAAATCCTACAGGTGAGCTGGATATCAGTAAAATTATGCATGTATGCTAGATATCGTGGTAAATCCTACAAATGTTCTGGATATCTGGTAAAGCCTACAGATGTCCTGGGTATGTTGTAAATCCTACAGGTGTTCTGGATATCTGGTAAATCCTACAGCTGTTCTGGATATCTGATAAATCCATATATGTTCTGGATATCTGATAAATCCTACAGGTGTTCTGGATATCTGATAAATTCATAAATGTTCTGGATATCTGGTAAATCCTACAGATGTTCTGGATTCCTGATAAATCCTACAGATGTTCTGGATATCTGGTAAAATCCTACAGGTGTTCTGGATATCTGGTCAATCCTACCGATGTTCTGGATTCCTGATAAATCCTACAGGTGTTCTCGATGTGTGGTAAATCCTACAGATGTTCTGGATATGTGGTAAATCCTACAGGTGCTCCGGATATTTGGTAAGTCCTACAGGTGTTCTGGGTATGTGGTAAATCCTACAGTTGTTCTGGGTATCTGCATCACGCATTCTTCATACTCTACACTGACACGCTAGCGCTTTGGTAATGTGCTTTCAGAACGACGTTTAACTCAATTCACGGACTGACTGACTGACTGATGATCCGGGTGCCTCTGGCGTCTGGTTCTTAAGCATGAGTCTCGAACAACGAGGGGCCAAATCTTCAAACACAAAAACACGAGTCCGACAAGGAGTATCAGGCCGAAAATAACCCATCCAATAATTGCCATCACTGACGGCGTCGGACTGCGAAGACAAAAGAAACATTGTGTGAATTACTTAAGTATAACGCTTGGAAATATAGTCAGTTAAACTTTCGTTGATGTCCAAAAAGCAATATCCAATCCCAAACAAGCTCTTTCACTATGTTTGTTTGTTGTGTGACGCTACTCTCAGCAATATTCCAGCTTTATGACGGCGGTCTGTAAACAATCGAGTCTGGACCAGACAATCCAGTGATCGATATTGTGAACATGGATCCACGCAATTGGGATACAATGACACGCAATCAACCAAATCACCGAGCCTGACCACCCGATGCATTTAATCGCATCTTACGACAAGCATTGGTTGCTTGGTCCCATATTCTTTCCAAGAATAGGGGCAGTGGGGTAGTCAAGTGGTTTAAAGGGTGCGCTCGTCACGCCGAAGGCCTGGGTTCGATTCTCCACATGGGTATAATATGTGAAATCCATTTCTGGTGTACCCTGCCGTGATATTGCTGGAATATTGCTAAAAGCGGCGTAAAAACCATACTCACTCACTCACTTTCCACACAGTTATATCACGCAGGGTCGGGAGGAATTCGGGAGGAAGCCCCGAAATGATGCAGGTCTCAGACGTTTAACATGTCCGTCAAACCCACGACCACGCGTATAGTGCTGACAAACATAGACACTTCATCGGAGCGAACGGGATTCGAACCCACGATCATATGTTCCTGGCATGACCAAGGGACGCAACTCTACGCAGCGAATTGCAGCGCCTTAGAGGACTGGGCCACACGTGCCCCCTCTTAAGGTAAAGTGGGAGAGTATTGTTGTATGACCACCGTCAGCTAAATTACAGCCATATCTCGGCTGCTTTAATGATCGAATCTGGACAAGACCAAACAATGGTTGTTAGCACAAGCAACGATCCACGCATTCAGTCTCTGTTTCCCCATCACGCAATCAGCCCACATATTGTCTCCATCAGATTCGCCAGTACATCAGTATTCTATGGTAACCCACATATTCCCATCATACATCTTACTGACCCGTGGAGACCGGGTTAGCATTGATCTTCGCAACCCATGTCGTAAGAGGCTACTAACGGGATCGGGTGGTCAGGCTCGCTGACTTGGTTGATGCATGTCATCGTATCCCAATTGCGTGGATCGATGATCATGATGTCAATCACTGAATTGTCTGGTCCAGACTCGATTATTTACAGACCACCGTCATATAGCTGGAGTATTGCTGAGTGCGGCGTTAAACAATAAGCAAACAAACAAACAAACAAAACTTACTTCAAAAGCACACCGCACTTACTCTCCATCCTTGCAACATCTCGAGTGTCTGCCAATCTTACAGCAGTACTCTCCCTTGACACAGTCAACCGGTTTGAACCATTCCATGTAGCAATATCCTTGTACGATTTCTGGAAGAAAAATGGAATTATTTAAATGTGGGTGTGTTTAATATAATGAAGCACAGTGTTACTGTGTAAGGTCATGTGTCATTTTACAATAACATATCCTGTAGGAGATCTTGTGTGAATACGTTCTCCGATGTGGCGCACATAGATCAATGACTGAATCAGGGAGGCACAATAATGAGGGTGCTAACTCCGTTCTACCCTGAATCCCGAATGCCAGCTAACTGGTCTCTCTGAGTCTGACTGCTGAGCCCTGAATCCCGAATACTACTTGACACAGTTCTCAAAAGCATTGACAAAAGAGTGCGATTTGAAAGTAAATAACTGAAAAATATATACATATATATTTTATAACGGAAACTATAAGTACACATGAATTTGTTTAAAATGCAATTTTATTTGCGTCCTGCGTACCCCCTTACCGACCCCCAAATACCGTGTAAATAGACCCCCGAGTCCCGCGTACAAAAGGGGGCTTGGCAGCCTTAATAATATTCCAAGAGATTGTGCACACAATGTAATTTGATTTCAATGGAATATGAATACCACTTTTTATCAGTATGTACTAAATATATTAATTTGATAATTTGATAATTTGTTCTGAATATTTAATAGTTTTGTATATGAAATCAGTCAATATAAATATTGTTCATAACTTGCCATGTCAAAGTAATCTGTGTGTACAGCCCAGCCGCATATACATAATACATGTAACATATATGTCTGTGGCCTTTCAGTATTGAGAATAAAGGACTTGTTAATGTTCACTGTAAGTCGGAGGGGTGGTTGGGTAGCCTAGTGGTTAAGGCTTTATGCTCGTCACGCCTTCAGACCGTGTTCGATTCCAAACATGGGTACAATGTGTAAAGGCCATTTCTGGTGTCCGCCGCCGTGATGTTGCTGGAATATTGGTGAAGGCGGCGTTAAACAACTCTCACTCATATGAAGCCGGGGAGTAATTGTTACTCTCTGAACCAAGTGTTCTGAAGATGAGACCACCTCCGTGGTCTAATGGTAGAGCGTCCGCCTGGAGAGCGGAAGGTCCGGGGGTTCGATCCCCGGCCTCGTCTTACCAAAAGATGTTAAAAGATGGTACTTGTTGTTACCCTGTCGACTCGGAGTCAGTATACTGTGTCTGAGTGAGGTATTCATGTTAAACTGCGGCAACGTGTCAGCTTAATGGGGAAAGCCCGGGGTGATGCAGGTCTCAGACGTTTACCACTTCGGTGAAACCCACGAGCACGGGCATGGTGCTGACAAACCTAGAAACATAATCGGGGCGAACCGGGATTCGAACCCACAATCATAGGTTTCTGGCGTGCCCAAGGGACAAAACTCTGCACAGCGAATCGCGGCGCCTTAGACGACTGGGCCACCCTTGCCTCCAGCACTAAACGAAGCTACTACGAGAACAAAAATTGCATGTCACAACAAAATACAATTAAGATTGAATATATATTATGATGTCATTAATATAAATATTGAAAATACCTGAACCGTATAAAATCAGCAGCAGTGACAGACAGTGGTGTTCCATGGCTCTGTGTCCCTGGAAGAAAGCTTGACATTGTCCACGATTATATCATTCGTGAATATAGAGGATTTCACAATGCCTACTGCAGTTCAGATGCATCTATTTTAAAATAGTCGCGTCGCTTGTTGTGCCTTCTTGCCAAATATAGGTGTCAGTGTGGTAACGCAAGTCAGCTGTGTTAGTGTGTCCAGTATCTCCGATGTCAGCATGGTTCAGACGAGGCATTGAGACTCTCACAGCTCTCTGTTGACAGTTGTTGACGTAAACGGGTGGAGATATGAGTGCCCCTAGTGGCAGTTATTTGATCCAAGGGTAGGTAATCCGGTTTAGATCGATATCAACCAAGCCCAGGTGAGCGTGACGACAATGTACAGGTATATCTCATAGCGTGTATGCGAGTCACTTCATGAACACTACAAACCACGTGTACACCTTTCTGTGTGTGTGCTGGTCCCGACTAATGCCAATTTTATAGTGCCAGCCCACTGAGATACCATGCCGCAGAATACCCCACACATTATACAGACTCCGAGCCTACCAGAGCCTTTTATCGCCTTAATGCCCAGCGCCAGGCAGGGTAACAACAAGTACCATGTGTTACCATGTTTTGGTATGACGCGGCCGAGGATCGAACTACCGACCCTCCGCTCTCCTTGACCACGGAAATCTGTCTCCAGTATGGAGGAAATGAGACATGTGTTTGACATGTATATTCGGGAAATACACTGTCTCTCTAATTTCATGGCTATAATGCTAAATGACTGACCATGATGTGATAGCAGCGGTGTTTTTCATTCCAAATAAATAGTTTATGAGTCGGCATGGACTCAAGCTGACCGAAGACACAAACGTATAAATATATACTGTCTATTTATCATACAGATGTGACCGCCTCCGTGGTCTAGTGTTAGAGCGTCTGCCCGAAGAGCAGAAGTTCGATCCTCATCCGCGTCATACCAACTGATGGTACTTGTTGTTAACCTGCCTGCCGCTGGGCATTAAGGGGCTAAAAGGGGCTGGTCGGCCCAAAGTCAGTATACTGTGTCTGAGATGGGTATTCATGTTAAACTGCGTCATTGTATCTCTGTGGGGTATTACTATAAAATCGGCATTAGTCCGGACTAATACGAGCAGCCTTTTCAAATACTAGTTGGCACGTGGTCCTGTGTACAGCGCTCAAGTCACACGTGACGTTAAGCAACCATGGCCAAGGAGTAGTTGGATCGTATTCGGCAGTTTGGCTCATGAGAGTTTCTAGGGCCTAAGTCCAGCCCCCACACAGCAGCACATGATCACATAGGCAAGTGATTTTGTTCGAAAAATGCCTCTGTTGATCCGGCAGTGAATGGGTACCCGGTGGGATGAGACAGAGACTGTTAACCTTCTAGCCCCTCACAGGCAACGTGGGCGGTCGGGTAGCCTAGTGGTTAAAGCGTTCGCTCGTCACGCAGAAGACCCGGGTTCGATTCCCGACATGGGTACAATGTGTGAAGCCCATTTCTGGTGTCCCCCGCCGTGATATTGCTGGAATATTGCTAAAAGCGGCGTAAAACCATACTCACTCACTCACTCACAGGCAACGTGACCAGGACAATACTAATGCTAATGCAGCGCTTCCAGCTTACAATAATTGTGGAGGTATGCGTATTGCAAGTGGACTATTATTAGTCGTGTAATGCAGTGGGTCGCTCATAGGATGTTGTATTCGCGTATACAGATGACGTATTATCTTTTGTCACCCTATTATTGCACATTCGCGTATACAGATGACGTATTATCTTTTGTCACCCTAATATTGCACATACACGTATACAGATGACGTATTATCTTTTGTCACCCTATTATTGCACATACACGTATACAGATGACGTATTATCTTTTGTCACCCTATTATTGCACATACCCGTATACAGATGACGTATTATCTTTTGTCACCCTATTATTGCACATTCGCGTATACAGATGACGTATTATCTTTTGTCACCCTATTATTGCACATACACGTATACAGATGACGTATTATCTTTTGTCACCCTATTATTGCACATTCGCGTATATAGATGACGTATCGTCTTTTGTCACCCTATTATTGCACATTCGCGTATACAGATGACGTATCGTCTTTTGTCACCCTTTCATTGCTCATTCGCGTATATAGATGACGTATCGTCTTTTGTCAACTGTTGCTTGCCTTGTCGCAATTCCGAGTTCGATTCCCGAATTGCGCCTACATAGGGAATCTATTCTTGATGCTCCCGCCGTGATGTTGCGGGTATATTACCTACTCACTCACTCACTCTATCAGGTTATATGAACCTTGATATTAACTCTTCCTTTCTTTACTTATGAGGCTAATCACCGTTTCTTTTGTCACCATCCACCTTCCTCGTCAATACCGCCTTCGTGGTCTAGTGGGTAGAGTGTCAGGAGAGCAGGAGGTCGGTTATGAGATACGGCCATGGCATACCAAATGACGCTAAAGCATGGTATTTGACGTTACCATGCCTGTCGCTAGGCATTCACATATGTGTGTGTGTGTGTGTGCATGTACATGTTTGTATATGTATTTATTGTAATATTATATTGTGTCTCGTAAGCCTTATGGCTGGGCCATAAGTGAGTGAGTTATGTTTAACGCCGCTTTTAACATTATTCCAGTTATATCAGGGCGTGTCAGCTTAGTGTGGGAGGAAAGGCCGAAGTGATGCAGGTCTCAGACGTTTACCACTTCGGTGAAACCCACGAGCACAGGTATGGTGCTGACAAACCTAGAAACATAATCAGGGCGAACCGGGATTCAAACCAACAATCATAGGTTTCTGGTGTGCCAAAGGGACGCAACTCTGCACAGCAACTCTCTCTCTCAATCTCTCTCGTCACATGGTAACGTCGTTGATAACAATGCTTTGTCAGGCAAAATGAGGGCATCAGTAGCCCGCACTTTGCCTGTTAACATGCGGGCCATTTTATGATAATTCTACCCATTTGAACTATTTGATAGCCCGATTATTCTTCAGACTTTCCCAATTTTTTAGCACTGATAATATAGACTAATATGTGATACTCAACTATTTCTAAGCACGATAATATATCATCCTCAACGATTTGTTAGCCCGGGTTATATATCATTTTCACCTATTTCTTCGCCCGAAAATATATCACACTCTACCATATGTTACCCGGGGTGCAAGTGACACAGGTGGACTTGCGGCCGATGGCCGTGTCAGAATCTGCTGGGGATGGATTCGAACCCAGAATCTGGCAACACAGCCCTGACTCACTCGCAGTTAAGTCTTAGTATCTCTGAAGTCTGGTGTTTATTTCTTATATGAGATATCAACACAATGTACCTGTCAGCCTCTTTGAGGATGATAATGAAATATACAAGCTTTAAAAATATTTACCCGTGTTTTAATAATGATGCTTCCCTGAATAGAATGCGACCTCGGCAATGTCGGACAAGTACATTTTATGAACAGGTGGGATAAGTATTTCCTGTATATTCTCACAATCCTCACGTCAATTATCTGTACCTTATCTCCCAATACCTATTGTCATGTCTCTCCCACTTTTGGATGCGATCGTTCGGCCACTTCATTTATCGGCGTACACCAGCTAAATATTTGGGGGAAAACTCACTTGACACTCCCCTCTCAAAATTAATCCAATTTACGACGTCATCAAGGTATTCGAATCTCCAGAAACGACGTCATGATAGAACAATGTTTTCTCGTGATATAAACCACACTTCGTTCTTCATTGTTATTTTCGATTTATCGCGAAGCTATCTTATATATTTCTATTATATGTAAATGTATTAATATTTCTATGTTTGCAGAGTTAAAGGCGATAAAATACTGTATTATATTAGTTATAATGCCTGTAACAAGATATCCAAAGAAATGTTATAACATGTTATTACTCTATGATCAACAAGAACACACTAAAGGGCATCTTCTGTTAAGCACCAACTTTATTCATGTGATTATGTGTTAAGCACCAACTTTATTCATGTGGTTATGGTAATATATGGACAGAACAGGATACGTATATACCAGATCATTTCATAGATGCTTTTACTCAGACCCTGAAGTGTTCGGGCCTGGCCTGTCTTTGTCACATGTCACAATACCTCATTTTGATTCGTTAAAAGTTAGATCTGACCATGAACTCATGTGTGTCGTAATCGGAAAAATACAGAAGCCGACGTGCCAGATTGCTCATCTCTCTTGATTTTGGGACTCGCCCCGGATGCTCCAAATGAAATATATCTTGAAATTCTCTGCTGGTTTCATTAATGGACGATAACCTGGAACCAATCCAATGATAAATATGAAATGTCAAGAATACACTTTTGATAAATATGAAATGTCTTTTATCTATGGATTCCTTTCGAACTAAAGGTTCTCTGTCACAAACTATATCTAATGCAACTTCTCATTGCCGCTATAAAGGTTTTATTTGTTACCATTTTCTAATGTTTTTGAGATGCATTTTTAACCTTATAACAGTACATACCAAATTGGCATTTTTCCTTATCAGTATCCTAGAAACTATCAAATTATTCCCTCTTTAAAAAAAGTTTCTGTGGAGAGCAATACTTATTAGATCGAAACGGGAAGATATATGGGGATCGTGAGAGAACACAGAATTTGTCAGTTTTGTGATTTAAACACTGTAGAAAGTTAATACCAGTTCTTACTACTTTGTCCGTTTTATGCTAAACACAGAAAACAAATCATTGATAAATATTATATCCGTTATCCAGGTTTACAGAAATGTGTCGTCTCAAGTAAGAATGTAGTAATAACGAAAAAACTGTCAATGTACATTTTGCATGCTATGAAGCTAAGAAGTTCCAAATGTGTTACCTTACAAGAAAACATTGATGCAGAGCATCAAAGTTCCCCGCCATATGTGATGCCTCACAAACGCATAATTATGATGTTACTGAAAGGCATGATGGAGCATAATTATATTAACCACAAATAAAACAACGCTGTTGTGGAAAAAAATATTATTTATTTTGAGTATTGGGCAATACAGTTGATACATTTGCATAGGGTAGGTCTATTTAAAAATAGTTTCTTGTTTAACGCCGCACTCAGCAGTATTCCAGCCATATGACGGCGGTCTGTAAATAATCCAGTCTGGGCCAGATCATCCTGTGATTGACACCAAGAGCATCGAACTACGCAATTGGAATATGATGTTATGCATCGACCAAATCGCCTCTTACGGCAAGCATAGGTTGCTGAAGACCTATTCTTACCAGGGTCTTT